TAAGCGATATCCGCGCGATTTTTTTAATAAATATATCTTAATAATAATAATTCACATTTTCAAATTATCAATTGGGTTACGTCATCGAACTTTTCATACTGATCCCTAACATTTTTTTAATATACTAATGCTTAAAAAGTACATTAAATTATTAGAGAAATCTTTGCATACTAAAATTTGTTTGACCCATATATATACGTATGTATAGAACGTTACCATTAAAACTTCAACTTAAAATTAATTATGATCGAATTTTGACTACAGAGAGTATATTATTATGAATTATTTAAATTGCATTCTTTCCAGAAAGACGATAATGAGACATAATTGTTGCAGTGTCATTGGTCAGAACAAAAAACTTAACGGTATAATAATTCAAGTAATGTTTGTTTATGTTTTTTTTAATGTGATGTAATATACATTTAATTATAGTACAGAGTCTCCTTGTTTTTTGAAGAAATGTAAATTTATTTTCACAAACGACGGATATCAGCTTCTCATGGGTTTAGGTGCTGATCTTGTGACGAAAGTTGTGTAACTATATGCATATATTATATATGCAAATCTTCCAGAAAAAAATCTAGATAGTATAGTAATAGTAGTGAAAACCACAGAATAAAAAAGTTGACTTTTTGTTATGTGGTGAAAACCTAATCAATACGTCTAGAAGAAAAACTATACGACTTCATAGTAATGTACTTATTTTATAAATGTCACTTTACTTACTTTTACAAGTGTAAAAAGCTTAAATTGTTTTTAAAATAAAATACAGCTCGTGTAACTCAATGACCATCTAAATTGCTTTCTACAAACAATGTAAAGTGGGATAAGTTTTAATTTAAAAAATGCTATTAATTACAATTAAATTTCATTTAAAAAATACCCCGAATGATTTCATAAAATAAGTATTACATGCTACCTACATATAAAAATCTGATAAATCAGTTATCGTCTAACGTCTCCAATTCTTTTGAGGTAATATGTTTATTTAAACAAGTTTACAATGTTATACATACTAGTAAGTCGTATTGTACATTTAACACAATAAAATCATTTGATTTTGTATTAAATACATTTTTATAAATAAGGAATTTAAACTTCATTGCATTAGTGTATTAAATTTACTTACAACTTGCAAGTTAATCGATATAAACTAACACAACAAATCGGTGTATCCTAACTATTCAATTTCGAGTTAAAACAACTTTAACTGCCGTGGTTAAACTTATTCCAATTAAAGTTAACCGAACAAACGATACAGAATACCAGGCAAACATAGGAGTGAAGAAGGTTAACATTCCAGTGTATACTATGGGACTATAGAGTTGAAATTTAATTTTGTTTGTATCTATTTCTGTAACACGACAGAAAGATTTTCTTACATGTATTATACTTATTATATATTCATCATTATATTATATATGTATTATTGTAATATGGACAGGTGGTATTTTGGAAAATAAAACAAACGAGTTTTTTTTTTATATTTAACTGGAAATAAACATAAGCCGATGTCCCACCTGAAGTGACAAGCGTCAATAATGTTTTACGTAATTAAGTTAATATGTGGGAGGACTAAAATATCATGCCTCCGTACCCTGTAATTTCACTGTCATATTTCATGCTACAACCAAAACACATTTCAGCAAGCATGCTACTTGACAAACATACACACACAAACGACTTTGTAAAAAGTCTACAATAAACTTCGAGAATATTAATAATACACGTAATAATCTCAGGACAATTCACATAGGGCCATCTAGACTCAAGATAAGCTAGCTAAAGCTCGTGTTATTAGTACTAGATAACTGATATAAATACAGAGATATATTTTTTAATACATTATATATATAGAAAAAACCCGGACCGATACAAATAATCATACTCATTAATATAAAATGTTTGTACTATAACTCAAACCAGCGACCGTCGGAAGTAAGGCAGTATGCTAAACCACTAGACCACCGAGACTGTCAAAAATATACTTTTAAACAAAACTGCTCGAAAACAGACGTGTATTATAATAATTCAATTGCTCAAATGTAAACAAAGATAACGTCGCTCGGGTATATTTTACAAAATGGGGGTAGTGGGTGAGTGGGAACCACATGAGTTATGGGGACCATTGTTCGTGTTATTGTATAGTGTGCAAGCGTGTTTATGGTACTAAAAGGGGTCGACCATAAACAAACTAGTGAATGAAAGCTGTGCTATTCGGCGTTTACGTATAATAATAGTGATTTGACTAAGTAAGCCACAAGCTATTGCAAATATCGATTTCTCGCATGCAATATATTGTAGACACTTAATATGATTAACGTTGTATGTTTCGTTGTCGTTTTACAATGTAAGCAAGTATAACAATCTACGAATAGGATTTCTATGATAATTTCGATTGAAATAACTGGAAAGGAAAGTCTGGAACAAATCAAATATTTGATTCGTAAAAAATGTGCATGAAACTTTTAAAAACTAAGTCTTGTAATAAAAAAGTTTATAAATATCTTTTAACATGTTACATAATTTAGTCTATGAAATATAATATATCAAGCTAGAAACAAGAAACTCTCCTCTTATTCTTTACAATTTACATTGTACATTATAATTATAATAACTCAGCACAATTCACACAGTCATCAAGTCCTAAAGAGGTATAATAACTATCAAATAGGTATCTATATTTATACATAGAAAATTCTGTAATATTGAACAACGTAATCGAAATAGTTTCATGATCGCTACATACTCGTGCATAAAAGAAATAATTGTCTAATACGGAACACAGCTACTTTAGCAGTCGAGCCGTTTTTTTATTTCTAACTGGAATGGCAACTATGCTACCGGCCTTCCTAATGGAAACTGTACATGAACAGCATTATACGAATATCACATTAATAATAATAATATCAGGACAATTCATACAGCGCCATCTAGACCTAAGTTAAGCTAGCTAAAGCTAAAGCTTATGTTATGGGTACTAGGTAACTGGTACAATACATAAATATATATTTTTTTCATAAATACACACAAATTATACATAGAAAATACCCAGACCTATACAAACAATTATACTCATGAATAAAAATGTTTTGCTGTGCGAGGATTCGAATCCGCGACTATCGGAAGTAAAGTGGCCAACGTGGCCGTCGCATTATCATATAACATCCGTATAACTACTAATGCATTGCCATTCCGTTAAACTAACATGTCACGCGTCTTATCCTGTAAATTGATTCCATTTTGTTGCCCTTCAGCAAAGACAGCTTAAAAGCAAGATACCCACAAAGTTAACTTTTTACATCCTCAACCTCAGTTCACGAGCTCTCAGGCTAATTGGCTACTTTTTACGGGTCAATCATAGCCAACGAAGTCGCGGTCAAAAATTAGTGAAGATATAAAAACCTTTGTACACTAGACTCTTTTGTACACAGGAGACGAGTAATCCTCACATTTGTAACCTATACCCACACTAGTAGCTCATGAAATAGAATTCAAATTTGCACTGGTACAGCTATCATCCAACAATTGAATCACTCAGACCACACTTTCGAGACCTTTCGCTGGGAGCCTATTTGCGAATGCATTTACGGCATTCATACTAAAAAGAAGAAAGTTTATAAATGCAATTAACAAACAAGATATACAAAGCGATTTAATTGAAAGAAATTATTTAAATTCAATCAACTCGAGTCCAAATTGAATTAAAGTCTGGGTACAATTTATTGCCCACGTTGGTAGAAATAAAAAGTATTAATCGATCATGTTTTAACTTTAGTTCAGTTTCTTAATCGTAGCGCAATAACGTAACATGGGGCTGTCATGATCTAGTGGTTTAGGAAACCGCCTTATTACCGATAGTCGCGGCTTCGATTCCTTACAAAACATTTGTATTCATGAGTTTGATTATTTGTTTTGATCGAGGTGTTTTCTATGTATATTATGTACGTATTTACAAAAAAATCTATTTATCTATTTATGTCAGTTGTCTAGTATGACACAAGCTGCGGTTAGCTTTTTTTGTTTGTGTTTTACAATTCTTTTTGGCGTTTTAATATACCTATATAGAGGAAGCTGTATAGAGCCTAAAGACACTGGAACTTTCTTTGAAAATTGTCTACCTATATAGTGGCAGAAAGCGCATTAAAATACTTCAAGTAGTGTCAGGCCTTAGGCATATACATAGGCGATGATGCTGATGACTTCAGTTTATAATCATTCTCCACAACTCACTCAGCGTTATCTAGAAAACGGTCGAAGTAGACTTCATACAAAGTCATCTGCGTGGATACGCTTATTCCAGCCGCCAAGCAGTTTGCTATGAAAGATGTGTATTCATAATATTCTATTACTCCGGAATGACACACACGAGTTGTATCTGCCATGGCCGTCACATAATATTTTAATGACCATTGTTATGTTTATGTGTGTACACGACGATTATCACTTACCATTAGGTGTACCTCTAAACTTGATCGCTATAACAGTTACATAAAAAAAGAAAAACTTCATGCGTCGGTAGTTTTAACTTCGATTACAGTGCTGTATCTATTATATTTTCATTTGTTCTTTTTTATAATTATTCACGGTTGCAAATTAAGCATGAATAAGAAAAAAAGTAACGAAATATAATATTAAACGACTTATTTGCATATAATATCATATTTCTTTTATAATTGTGGGTGTTGAGACAAACCTTTACAAAATATATCTGAGACAAATGTAAAAAATGCATTTTCTTTTTTTAATTTTATTAAATAATACACGAAATTACACTATTTTTAAAATATATAAGTACCTGTGACACAAACGAAAGAGTATTTTGTTTCATTCATGAACTATATTAAATATGAGACATAATTCTAAATTATACGCCTGGGATATAAATAAAAAAAGATCAACATCAAAAACTTTTCTTTTTTGGACTAGACTAGAATGTGGACCTAGTACATATATTAAAAATGTGACATCAAAATCACACACTCAAGAAATACCATAGCCTATCTCCTTCTTCTGTTTAAGAAGGCTTCTTGTATATCAATATTTGACAGACCTTTAGTCTCGGGAACTATTATAAAGCTAACTATAGCGTTGATTACACCAAAACCGGCGAATATATAAAACGCCCCGTGCATGCCAAGACAACTTGTAATATATGGAAATACCGCTATGATAGCAAAGTTTAGGAACCACACCCATTCTCCTATCAACAAAGAGGCAATGTTCTGTACCTGAAAAGAAACAGTTTATTAATTATCAACTGTATACCCATATATATATATATATATTCGCTATATTCGCTATACATATATTTCGCATATATGTTTATTAAATTTATTATTATTATTATTATACCCACGATTTTTTTTTAAATAACCAAACATTTGCAGCTATACTGGACGAAAAATGGGATAAAGGACTGAAGGGCACTTGAAATTTGTGGAAAAATTTATTGAGCATCTGAAAGCCAATTGCGGTGTGCACACTCAGGTTTTTCGTTGTATATATTTCGGATATGATCAATGTGTACATTAAGTTTTATATAAATCCATTCAGCTGTTTACATATACTTTCATATTTACAATATTTTGATGTGTAATCGCACTAAGCATATATATACAAGAAAATAAGCTTACACTTGCTTACACTTGGCCAAGAACATATAAGGTGTATAATTATAAATGTGTAGTAATTTTCAAGTTCATATGCATATTTAAATTAGTTTATATAAGTACATTCCTATAAGAAACCTTTATATCGGTATATTTTTGTACAATGCTTAGTTCATAGTCTCCATCTGTTCTATAAATAAATAAGAAAATAACTTAATTAGCCGATACTTAGCAGATATTAGCAGTTGGAGAAAGTACGAAGAAAGATTGTTTAGTAATTCAAAATAGCACATACAGATGGCGCATTCAGTACTTGTTTAATTTGCCTCAATCAAATGATACAAATACTTATATTAACAAATAAGACTGATTGTATAATCTACATGGTCTACGATCAGGTGGCGCTGGAAGTCTACAATTACCAACCTCGGGGGTGAAGATTTCGGACAGCAACACATAAGGAATGGTACCGGCGCCGCACATGAAGAAGAAGCAGTAGAGAAGAATAATGACCACCGTCACCCATGCTGGTCCAAAACTGTACTGAGTCTGCGCGCCGAGAATGACCATCGATATGGCTACTAATGTTGATGAACTGATCACCAAAACCTGTATTGGATAAAAAACATCAATGAAATTAATAAATAAATTGTTAAAATGACAAAGTTCGCTTGATAGTCACATCAAATTTTAGCTTGGTATATGATTTCATATATCATCAGTATGGGTACCTGTCTCATATATATATTGACGTATGTGAGTTTGGATCTCCGATACTACCATCCAATTATGAAAATTATTTTAGTCTTTAATAGCTCTTCTATCGAGGAAGGCTATGTAACAAGCTACCACCAATAGTGGTGGAGTAGCATTGAAAAATGTTGCAAAACCGGTGAAAATGTGCAGACGAAATTGCGCGAGTAAGTGAGCTATAAGTATTGGCGGATACTTTTATAGTTTTATAGAAAAAAAAATCAGAAATGGACAAGAATAACAACAGAATGGTATCCACGAGACGGTAAAAGAAATAGAGGTAGACAGAAAGTAAGATGGGAAGATGATATCAGGAAAATAGCCGGTCCAATATGGACTCGTAAAGCAAAGGACAGGACAGAATGGAAATCTTTAGAGGAGGCCTATGTCGGAAGACAAGCTGTACCGTTTATCGATAATAATATTAACCAAATGTAAAAATTTTAGTATAGCAATAAAATTTTTATTTTTTTATAGAAAAAAATCAAGTCATTTAATATTGTTTGTAAAAAACTACAAAGTTTATCGTATCGTACATTTGATACTTCCACTTTATGTGACATACCTACATAATTTTCTCCGAAGGATAAAACCAACATCCTCTTTAAAATAAAACATAATAACAATATGAAAGAATGATCTCACCCTTCTGCCAGCTTTATCAGATATAAATGCAGTAACGAAACATCCAAATATCAGCATTAAGGCAAATAGAACGGAGAAGAGGTCAGCTTTGCTTGGATCTGCTTTGTTGAAAACAGTTTTGGCGAATACTTGTACTGGTACTAATCCCATAAATACCTAAAAGTAGAAAATGGAAAAATATTGTAACGAAAAAGTAGGTATTATAGTATTTCCCTACACCAGGTATAATGATTCTTTAACTAAACTTCTTTGGCCGAGAAATAATGTGGGTATCTGAAAATAACTATTGTATTTTTAATAATACTTTGACCAAGTGACCACGTGATTGAATTTGTATGAAAATATTTAAATAATAATAATAATAGCTCTGGACAATGTCATTTAGTCCCAAGCTAAGCAATGCTTGTGTTAAGGGTACCGGACAACTGAGAAAATATATAGATATTTTTTTTTACATATCTACATAATATATGTACTTAAAAAACAACCAGACCTATATAAACCATCATACTCATAAATAGAAAAGTGTTTGTACCGTGCGAAAAACGAACTCGCGACCATCTGAAGTAAAGCGGTGTGGTAGACCGCTAGACCACCGCGTCAAAAACCCTTAATAATTTATAATTGTATGTAGGTACAATTAGGGAAAATTACGGGATTTTTATTTTTATTGAGTTCCCGATATTTCGACAGTGTTTCTTTTGGAAATAAGAGAAAGCAGCAGTGGGTTAAATATTAAAATATATTAATATGATAAATTTATATGTTGACATTACAAAAATTCCTGAGATATTCAATGTGACATATTCTATAAAAATGTACAAACAACAAATTCTACGATGGCCAGTATTATACTTCCAACATTTTCCCATCATCACGATGATGATGATATAAAATTGTGTCTGACTATTTTTTACTATTTCACAACAAAACGTATACATGGAAATGTAATTTAACTTGAAGTAGACTGTATCACGAGGAGAGATACTTCCTTTGTCTCAACTGCTAGTGACGAAATAAAAATTACCTGAACTGTTATTATAATGAATAATGTCAAAAATGCGCGACGTGATGACGGCGATGAAACTGAAACAATACAAAACAAAATACGACATTTTAAATTTGCAAATGTGGTGGCAAGAGTGGGGAATTTGCACAGACATCGTCAACTACGTCAACATTCGAATTCACCTTGGTATATTTTATTTCGTGGTAGAATATTACACCATATGGTTTTTAGTACACCCCGCTCGCCATCTCTCTGATGCGGGGACTGTGAAGATTTTTCCACAATAAAGGGACTTTATTTGTTTTATTAATTGAAATAAAAATAATTCCATATCGACCTAGATAGTAGTAATAAGAGGTATTGTCTTCGTCGTGGTAACCGCAACTTTTGACATATCCACATTTGAATCCACCGTAGCAAGGGCCGAGCCTAAAGCGGTCTCGGATTAATTATTTGTTATCGGAATTTTCATTATAAAGTCAGACAAAAATATAAACTGACATAATATTTTTTTAGTGGGCGCCTGATTTCAATTCACTGCCTTTTAAGCGTAAGTCGGGGTAGTGAAGCATTAGTCCACGATACCTACATAGAATATTAAAAGTAGGTATTGACAGTAATGAAATAGTTATAATAGTTGTAAATACCCACTTAATGTTCTCCAAGAAGAAACCTTTTGCTGAACTTCAGGTATGATGTTCTCAGAATTTAATTTTTCCTTCTCTGCGTCTTCCGCTGTTGATAGTGAATCTACAATATTAAACACGTAATTATTTATTACTTATGCCTAATTTGCAACAGCTATACTTCTGTTTCACCTAATTCTATGCTCGACCGCCAACAACTTATTATTAAGATACCACAGTTATAGTAATTAAGCATGTGATGGTAATAATAACCTCAGGACAATTCACACAGCGCCATCTAGACCCAAGTTAAGCTAGCTAAAGCTTGTGTTATGCGCACTAGATAACCGATACAAATATATAGATATTTTTTTCGTAAATACATACATATCATATAGAAAACACCCAGACCGATACAAACAATCGTACTCATGAGTACAAATGTTTGTGCTGTGCGAGGAATCGAACCCGCGACCATCGGTAGTAAAGCGGTGTGCTAAACCCCTAGATCACCGAAGCCGTCAAATAGGCCGGCCGTCAAAGAGGCCGGTAAACGGTTACCGTTTCCTACGTACATCTGAAACAATAAGGCTATTTGTGTGTTGCCGACCAGTTACAAATCTTCATATTTCCTTCTTAAAAATCTCTATTTTGGTAATTATTTGAATATTATATTATGGTTTGAAGGATAAAAACAATTACAGTACAGAACACTTATACCATCAGAATATATTCTATTCAAAAGATTACATTTATTAACCTAGTTACCCCCACCAAGATACAGTGACAAATTCAAACCTACATTTGGCGGAAGATATTTTATTAGTTTAGTCTCGGCTTTTCTTATCTATTTTAATAAGAGTTAACAATTACTTATAATATTTGTGTTAGCATAATAAAAATATATTTAGAAGAGCATGCATATTCTTTAATTATATACAAACGATTAAGCAAATTTGGATTAAATACACACAGGTAGATGGTCTTACTGATACTTATACCAGTAACATATATTATGTTACTGGAGCAGGAACACAAAATACTAGTAAAAATGTGTATTCTTCCCAAAAGGGCTCACAGCAAGAAGTAACAAAAACAATATTAGTTCGTCAAAAGTGACATATAAAAAAATAGATATAAAAAGATGGTAGACAAGCTGCCAGCAACAATATAAACACGAAAGTGTTTGTGAGTGTGGATGGATGGATAGATGTTTGTTGATGACTCTTTCGAACAAAAACTACGGAATGGATTTTAATAAAATTTTACAATAATATAACTTATGCAGCAAAATACATAGTATAAAACGAAGTCTACTAAATCTTTAAAACTACACAACGGATTTTGAAGCTGTTTATTTAATAGATAGAGTGATTCAAGAGGAAGGTTTATACATCTAATACATGTACACCCAGGCTAAGTCGGACCGAATGGCTAGTAGGCTATAAATTTCAGGCAGGTAAAATTGCGAGCATAACTAGTTATTAATATGGCGTTAGATAATAATTATTAGAAATATACCTTAATCTTAATCGCAAAAATAAAATATTAATAGTAATAATAACACACACACACACACACACACACACACACACACACTGCATTTACTTGGTTTCGGCCTTAAGTGTGGGAAAAACCAGCAAAAGCTGAGAAAATGCGACAATAGTGATAATAATAATAATAATAATATCTCAGGACAATTCACACAGCGCCATCTAGTCCCAAGCTAAGCAAAGCTTGCGTTATAGGTACTCGACTACCTATATAAATACATAGGTACATTTTTAAATAAATACTTATTATACATAGAAAACACCCAGACAGATACAAACAATCATACTCATGAATACAAATGATTGTACCGTTCGAGGAAACGAACCCACAACCATCGGATAGTACAGCGGTGTGTTAAACCACTGTACCACCGAGGCTGTCATTGACGAAATGATTGATTGATTCTCGTCATATGATGTCAAAAAAACCGTAGTGCAAGTTCATTTGTAGGTACATATATGTGTGTAAACAACGGTTGCCTGTTTAAAAGGTGGGCCGTCAGCTTGTTTGCCATTCTAACGGGCTGTGTGGTCTAGCGATTTAGCACACCGCTTTACATTCGATAGTCGCAGATTCGATTCTTCGCATAATATAAATATTTATAGATGTGATTGTTTTTATTCGTATGAGTGTCTTCATTGTATTTTGTTCACAAAAACATTCGTTTAATTATTTATATCAGTTGTTTAAATCATAAATCATAATAAAAATTCTTAGCTTGGGTACTTTTTTTTCTCTTTTTGGCAAAGCTTGGGTTTTACTGGCGTTGTGTGTATTGTCTAGGATAATAAAAATACGAATAAAAAAATCTTTTATTACCTTCGTTGACTGGTATTAATTCAACAATTGGATTCAACTGCAACTTGAGTTTTGATAACTCTTTCAAGACAACCACTGAAGTTGGGGATGACCCTTTGTAATGCGCTATTGCATTTATTGCGTCCTGAAAAATATTTAATGATCAAAATATTATCATTTTCTCCTATACGTGTAGACCGAATACATCTTTTTTTTTGTTAGTAATGTATAAATTAAAATAAACAATTTTGAAAATTAATTCACTTTCATCAATGCAACTTATATGATGATATTTCATTTACAAATTAGAAGCTGGAAGAAGTCCAGTTTCTAATTTGTAAATTTAAATCATTTTTATTTAGCAAAGCCTATTTTATACACTAACCATGCCAATAGTAGTACTAGTAGTTTATGCACGAGATTTTCATTTAATATTAGACTACTACGTATGTATACAAACTGGCTTTAAAACAAAAGAAATTCAGTTGAGTTTCTTGCCAGTTCTTCTCAATATAAATCGTTATACTGAACTGGACGGTAACGAGGATAAATATGAATACAAAAATTTTTAAATTCATAAGCGGCTAAAATATTCTACATGAATAAATTAATTATAATTTTGATTTTGATTTTACAAAAAAAATATAAAAATTGTACCTGTATGAATATGTGGCGAGTGCTTACTTAATGGTTACCCGCGTATAAACATGCTTTGTTTAAGTCTCTGAATTCAATAAACCTTTGTGATAAATTAAAACATTAAATTATAAACATGTAATTATTAGGATTCTCCATTAAATCTCCATAAATGTTACATAAAGAAATAAGATATAAACAATTACCCAATACATACATACTTATTTACAAAGGTTTGTTTATATCGAATCTACGATAGTCAGAAAATAAAGCAGTACACCTAAACTGCTAGACCAACGCGGTGGATACAAGACACATCATGTTCCATTAGCATTGAAACTGAATCTTACCTCTTCTCTATTTTGCCTGAGCAAAAAGATAGGACTTTCTTTCACGCTCATAACTAGTAAGCAGCATACTACAGCCACCATAATGTTAATCCAAATGATTACTGTGTAACTGGAGAACCATCCCAGGATATAGGATAAGAGGACTCCTATTCCATAAAACAAGTTTGGAACTAAAAAAAACAAACGTAATACCATTCATAAATTGGATCACACCAATTTCAATAATTTTAACCCCAGTATTCCCATATGAAGCACTGAGGTGACGATAGTACCTATTAAATAAATTTTGAAATGTGTCTATTTATATCTTATATTTTCAATACTAAATATTGTTTTATTTAAACTTATTTTAATATTGTAAATCAAATGTTCAAGTAAATTAATATTATTTCCTCGCCACTGTGAAATAATATAGTACTTTAAAAAAGAAAATAAATATATAGAAAGGACTATAAAAAAGTATTTGTCCGTCATCGTAATACAATTTATCTTTTAATTCGTGAAATATGCAAAGATAGGCACACTTATTTATAATATTAGTAACAATTATTGTAATTACATGTTGCCAGCGATCCTCTGATTGAGTCATCAGCGACTTCTGATATGAATACAGGGCCATAAACAAGATATGCTCCACCAGCTATACCTCCCAGGAATCTTGCCATGAGTACCAAGACAGATGTAGACGACATGTGAATAATAGCCCAAGACAACTGAAATAAAGGAAATAGAAATAAACTTTATTCTAATAATTTTAAAGTTTCTTTTGAATAGTGATTTTTTTATTCCACACTTCAAGGTAGACTTTGCATTAAGACGTCTGTCCTAGCTATTTCAGCCGCCATGATGCTTTGTAATATGTGTTTCGGTTGAAGGTACATAGATGACAGTGAAGTTATAGGGTATAAGGCCATGACACCTCTGTCGATATTAGACTGGCAATATCACACAGTGCTGCTATTATGCTATAAGTATATGTTAATTTGAAATAAGATCCATTTTATAAAATTTCATTCCAATCCGTCGAGAAGTTTATCAGTGACAAAGACTTTAATAAAATTAGTAGGCTTTTAGTTTCAAATATGACTTACCAGAAACGGAATTGTAATTGCAAGACCTCCTATTCTTCTGCCAAATTTGTCAATTAATATTCCAACCACTCCAGTACCCAACATCCCTCCCAGAGAGGGCAGACTACCCAACAATGCCACTTCGGAATCAGTCATGGGATTTGTTAGAAGTACTGTATCATTAGCTGTATAAAGATACTTCGTGTATGATGGCCAGACGTTGAGTAATCCCATCGCAGCGGAGCCAAAAGATGCTGAAACATGTAGACAATGCAGATGTTCACCAGAAGGAAACTGTGTAGATAAATATCCATCTTCAAAGATACAACACAAGAATGTAGAAAATAGGACATGAAAAATGAAAATTAAATACAAAGCTGATCTTGCGACCACGCAACTTGCTTCAGTTTGAAAAATTAGTAACATTTCAGGCTATGGTAGCATGACACCTTAGAATTAGGAATAGCAATTCTTCTACAGACTAAAAACATTATTAGTTCTATAATTAATTTTTTTTTTAAATTGATAGTGCGTTAATTTTTATATATTATCATCAGTTCACCTTATTAGAAATGCCCTTCCTCCCGTTATGTCTCGGTTGAAGGGTACTGAAATTATATGATGTAGAGGCATGATATCACAGTCCTTTAATTCCTTCTTAGTTTTAGTATTGCGTAATATATGTACATATATAGATACTGTTCATGTATGTAGGCGGTTACAACTTGCTGTTAGGTGAGCTATGAGATGGGATGAGCAAGAAATTCAAATATGTCAAATTCGAATATGCCCAGGACAATGAAAGCCTATCTAGTGTGTGTGTGTGACACACACATAATGCCACAATGCCCCGGACTACCATATTTAAGATACCAATCGTAAATTATACCCCACTGAAAATCAGCACTGTGATATAACTGAGTTATAGTAAAATATAAACGCTGTATGAGTGGGAGTCAGCGTCAGCGTTACCAGAATATTTTAACTTTCAAGTGATATAGTAAACTGGAGCTTGCGTATGTGAGCGGGCTTACGGGTTTGTGTTGCTGATTTTTTTATGATGACGATTTTCTTTTCGAATAGACATGGTTGGCAAAAGGTTGGTTGTTTGTTTTAATACAAAACCATTTGAGTCAATTTCTAATGTAGGAATCAAAAGACGAATTACAATCTAATCTACCTTTTTGTATATCATATGAACCTGTGGCCATGCATTCTATTGTTATGGTCACAATACAAAATCTATCTAGGTTAGGATATATTTTGTTTTCTTTCCTTTCTGTGTACTAATTTGATATTGGTCACCCATCCCAAATTTATTGAAAACTACACCAATGTATACTTTGAACGGTAAGTATAAAAAAAATTACTAAATGACGACGCAGTCTTTATTCGCCGTCTCGGATTTTTATTTTATTGTAATTAAGAATACTCAATGTAATGCTGAATAAATGTCTTTATTATTAATATTATGGTATTAAACATTACCTGTAATCGCTGTAAACGTCTGAAACCATATTCCTGACACCATTGTGTGTATTATTTAATTAACACTTTAATACAGTCTGTCCTTTTTTGTCAACTACTAAGGATGTACTGCGTGTATATCAATGTAATAATTACAAATGTCAACATAATAACATATTAATATAATTAAACAGAGATTGTTTGGATACTAATCAAATACTTGAGATGTTGATAACAAATTTTATGCTAGTTTTGATAGGCATCACTCGTTACATGGTTTAGAGTAATTGCCGAATTAGTCTCAAAGGACGTGTATTAAAAGACAGTCCACTATAGAAATATATCTATGACTTTGCATTGCATCTTTTAGCATCGTTCTATTCTCTGATTTATACAATAGCATACATTGCTAATTTCATATTTCGTGAACAATTAAATAATCGACAGATATTGTTATCGCTTCATTTGATAGCATCAGAACAAATCTGGATTGGATTGAAGTCAATAGTATTGGACTACAGAGTAGACCGCTGGTCGACTTAATGCAACTTGGCGTGTCAATTTACAGTTCTGATTGTCATTCTGGTGAAAACATGAAGTATATGGAATCAAGAAATGGTAGGCTCGCCCCAGACATGTTCATTTTAAATATTAATAATAAAATGGATAATACCATTATAACCTATAATCTGTATTATTTGTAAAGAGGTTGGTGAGGTTGTAGCGAGTAATCTCTGAATCTACTGAATCAATTTTGAAAATTCTTTTAATGTTACATAACCCATTTATCGAGGAATATAGTAGACTATATAACACCCATGCTACGACTAATAGGAACTGAGCAGTAATGAAATATATTGCAAAAAAGAGGAAAAATTAATAAAATATGAAGTTACGTGTATCAGCTAGTTCTTTATATATTTGTAACTTTTTTTAACACTAACGGTATATACCAGTGGAGGACGATGGAATGAGCATAAAGTTAGGTCAAACAATATATGTTTTTATGTGTAAGCCATTATCACCAAAATAGTGCACTATAAATACAATAAAAATTGATACTTTATTTCTAATGTACGTTTGATCGTAACAAAAGATTCGTGTTTTTTTAATAATGATAATGGAATGGAGAACCCGCCAGTTTACGCTAGCGGGGCACCAGTAGAGGATGATAAGATGAACATGATATCAAGTAAGTTAGCCCATTTTAATTTATCAGGTCTTTATTATTTCTAAAGGAACCTCCACGTTTTACCTTACATGGTATATTACTAGCAATGGCTTAATCAGTCCACATTACTAGGCAAACCCATTCAGGATCAATTGGTTAGGACCGGAGGAATGCCTCCGGTCCTAACCAATTGATCCTAGGGGGAAAAGAGGATTGTTAGTAATGTGGACTGATAATCATTTTGCTAGCCTGACATGGTACATACCATGTCAGCTTAACCTCCACGCGGTTCCCCCTGAAAATCATCGTAATAAATCCTTGGTGATTTGTCACGATGGGTTAACTGACCTGACCCATCTTATCTGTTGCTCATCTTATCATTCTCCACTGATGACCGCCAGCGTAAACCGTTAGCGCGGGCGGGAGCACCATACCATTATCATCCATAAAAAAAAACCAATTGATACTCATGAAAATAATAACTTAATCAAGTACAATACATTGTACTTGATTAAGTTATTATAATACATAGTACACTATGTATTTCACACTACGTCATATGGACAAATATTTTAATACTTAAGATGATGACAAAGTGAGTAATAATCATCATGCACAATACAAACAATCATATACACAATATAATCCTTACAAACAATAGCATTTATAATATGTATTAGTGGGATCATTATCAAAAATATTTTGTATCAAGTTACATACATTACACAACATAAAGCAAGCGTCTCTAAAAGTACCAATGTCTGTGTCTGTGTTACTTCACGACTATACCAAAACTATCATCATCATCATCGCAGCCCGGAAGACGTCCACTGCTGGACATAGGCCTCCCCCAAAGATCTCCACGACGATCGGTCCTGCGCTGCTCGCATCCAATGCCTTCCAGCGATCTTGACCAGATCGTCGGTCCACGCTGCGTACCAAAACCAATTTTGGTGTAAATGTAGATGGAACTTAAGAGACTGTATGTACTAATCACCCTACGATCGAGAGCGGAGCTGTAATTTGTTTAAATGATGAATGTTGTATAAATGGGGAAAGTTAGTATAATTTTCATACTTAACCTTTATTCCGATCCTTGTGCTTGTAGATCTCGAATCAAACCCGCGACCATCGTAAATAAAGCAGTGCGCTAAACCGCTAAACCACCATGGTGATATATAGTGAAGAGCAGAAACCTCCTGGTATTCTTGAAGCCTCATCCTATTATACTTCACTGGTACACGGTTAGCGCAGTGGTGCGGGAATATTATTCATACTTAAAAGTCATTAAAATAAGAAACGTGTGCTTATTGTCGGATTAAGAAATACTTATTATGTCTATAAATTTAATTATCAAAAAACAATTAAAAGTTATAATATATAGTAGTAGTAGTATATATAGTATTATAATCCTTTCTAATATTATATATTTGACGACCTCGGTGGTCTAGCGGTCTAGCATACCGCTTTACGACCGATGGTCGCGGGTTCGATTCCTCGCACGGCACAAACATTTGTATTCATGAGTATGATTGTTTGTATCGGTCTGGGTTTTTTCTATGTATAATATGTATGTATTTACAAAAAAAAAAAATTATCTATGTATTTGTATCAGTTGTAAGCACAGCCCATAACACAAGCTTTAGCTAGCTTAACTTGGGTCTAGATGGCGCTGTGTGAATTGTCCTGAGATTATTATTATTATTATTAAATATAGAGATAGTACGGATTTTTGTTACGCTTTCACGCAAAAACTACTTAACCGATCATCATGAAATTTTGTTGGAGGTATTAGAATGAACATAGGATTTTATTTAAAACAAAAATTTTGTGGATTCAATGCGAGCGAAGCCGCGGGTAATTGCTAGTTCAAATATAAATTATAGTCTAATCTTGGAATAACCTATGATGTCAACGTCGTTATAAATATCACATGCATATGATAATAGTATTGACTGAAAATCATAATAACATGTTTATTATTTGTGACAACAATTGTTAAATACTCAAAATATCATCTTATTTAAGTATAACAAAATCGTATAATCATAACGAACCAAAACTATCTGTACATCTGTTTGAGCGTTAAGATTTCATGTGAAATCTATTGCAAGAATTTAGTATGAAATTTTCAGAATATGTTATTAAATCGGAGTCAAACTGTAATCTTTAAAAATCTGAAAATTACATTAAATAGGGGTCAAAATAAGGTTTCAGTAAGCTGAGATATATACAAGCAAATGAGGATAATAATAATATTGTGAATATTTTCAATACAACACTTATATTAGTAAAATAATGGATTACGTTATGTATGCTGACACCATCAATAGCTGACAATGTACAAATGTATTTATGTAATTCAAATTCAATTCAAGTTCAAAATATCTTTATTTATGTAGATCTATTACAGCCTCTTATGATATGTCAAATCTACCATCAATACGGAATGATGTCATGATGAGAAGAACGGACAAGAAACTCAGCTTGTATTCTTTTCAAATAAATCGCGGCCACCACTCGTAATTCATATAACAATTGTAATCATACTGCAACTATTTATAAATTTCATTGGACGTTAGACAAAAATTTCCATTTCATCACATATACATTCCTTATTTACCATTGCTTTAGTTTACTGTTATATAATTTTATGTAAATATATTGTATAAATAAAGAAACATTTGAACGCGTACTATATTTAAATACATTTCTGAATTCAAAATATCATTGTTTAATCACATCTTATGTCACGATAATGTCTACATAGAAATCTACTTCAAATATAACTAATGCAAATGTGTCCCTTTTTTTTCTCTTGTGGTATGGTGGTGGGTGCATTTACCCCGATTTTAGGGTATTTCGCAATTCAAAAACAAAACGTCATTAATTTATATCTAGCAACGAACATTTTGTAGAGTAGGAATAAGGATTAGGTTAGAGAATTATATAGGATATAATATTTACAAATAATATATATACAATACCGAACACATTACATTACGTGACCCTTAAAAACGGCTAGACGTATATGTTTTACTTTTATTTTTTGTTGTATTTGTAATTGTTAGGACAAGGTTTCTATGTAGAATATGTTTATAGTTCTTATATGGAAAAATGCTTTGGGTTGACATTATTTTTTTTTATCTGTTTTTCCCGTTTCAGGGAAAGGCAAAAGGGCTCAGCCTATACAGCCATTGTCTTCACAAGTTATATATCTTGAAATGTTGATATGACGTACTCAAAAATAGGTTTGTAAGTTTCTGGGTTCTTCAATAGATTCTGGATAGGATGCGGGATCTCCATTTTATTATATATTTTATAATATAATAATTGATCATTTTAATGCAAGAATGATATTGACATGAATTGACAAATTGACTTGAAGTCGTTTACTTTTAAAATATCATTTGATTTTATTATATGGTAGTACTGTAAAGCATGGATTTTATTCTACTGTATTGCAACATTGTGATTCCGAGCATGTAATTAGTTATATCATAATTATCATTATCTATTACGTTGAACTAATATTTGATAATATTCTCTCCATTGCTATTATGTCACAAAATTTACAAATTCTGTTCTTTAAATATCACAAATTTTAGGTATGTTACTAAGGTATTTCTATCAAGATTATTTGCTCAAACTTATTTACTTTAGTTTTATTTATATTATAACTATGTATATACACATTATTATTTATATAAACTTTGCACAAAGTCGTTTGCACGGGTACCTCTATCTCACATAATTCTGCCGTCAACTGCTTACTTTGTATAAGCTGTGGTTTGTTTGAAACGTGAGATAAGAAAGTGAAATTTCAGACGTTTTAGCCCTCAGGTTTAAAGATAGTTTTTATAAAAAAGAAATCTTACTATAAACGCGAAAATTTGTGAATGTATGGATGTTTGTGACTCTTTCACGAAAAATTACTTAATGGATTTTAATGAAACTTTACAATAATTTAGTTTCTACATTAAAATAACACATACGGGCTATAAATTTCATGCGGGTGAAACAATTTGTACGTAATATTTTATCGTTTTAACTACTATATTGAAACACATAATTAATTCATTGTTAAAAAGATAATAGGAACATTTTACTTATTGTTTATGATTCCCATTTTCTCAGTTTTTTATTAATTAGTAACACTTTATTTTTATTGCCAAAACTTTTATACACAGTGGTACCTATACTGCAATGCCTTGTAATAATTTAATAGTACAATTATTTTGAGTTTGTACGTCTACTATAGTGTACTTAATGTTTTGTTATTGATTTAACGTATTTTTATTGTATTTGTTAGTTTAAAATGGTAATAGTAAACAAAAAATATAAGACGCATTTTATTCATCCGCTCTTCTCTGTATAAAGTATACCTCGGTAATTAATGTTAGCATTCAAAGAAATAATACCAGAATAGCGTGAAAGTAAATTTGCTATCGTAAAATTTTAGGCGTTCCAATAAACGTTTGCAAATTTATATATACCTACTTACCTATAAGTTTTTTTATGGATAATAACGAAATGGTACACACACCTAGCTAATGCTATTCGATGGCAGGGTGTCGGTGGAGGATGATAGGATAAACATGAATTCAAGTAAGTAAGCACATCATTCCTCAGGTATTACTGTATTCCAGAACCGGACCGCATTGAAGTCACTGTTCCTTATGACTGACTATCATTTTCTTTCTTTGTACAACTTACAGATATATGGTAAAAAGTATGAGCATTTCATTCTTTGTTTTCCTAATATTTTGGGTATTAATGCTAAAAATATAAATCACAAAAATTTTATATTTACATTACAAAATGATTATTGTCTACTTAATTACTAAAAATATCTTAAATAACGACTTATTTAAATAACACTTAATATTTAGGTAAAGATAATTCACATATTATACAACATTAGTTTTAAGCCAATGATAATAGGCTCATGAAACTAAATAAATTTAAAAACTAAAAAGAAAAGAACTTCATTTAAACATACATAGTATAAGTAATTCAAAATTTATTGTGAGATTTCCACTTTGTTTCATTATAAAATTGGTTTTACCCGTTGACTATGCCTTTACGATCATCCTGTATTGTTATGGCATATTAATTCTAAAAGCTACATTCATTGATTTGACAAAATTAAATAATTTTATTCAATTCCTTAATTTTTTTATTTCACCAAATTCAACAAAGCTGTAGTTACAAATAGATTATTCTTTATCTATCTATCTAATGTCAACCAACCAATAAATATCTACAATTTTTCTAAACATTCTGAAGGACTATGGTGTGATGCCACCGTGGGCTGTATTTTTTATTGCCGTATCTTATTCTTCAGAAGGAAATTCTTTTATATCTATATTATCTGGCTGAAATTGGTAAGCATTCATACAAAGAGTATAATTTAAAGATTAAAAATTAAAAAAGATGCTATTTTTCAACTTATATCAGTATAAGCCTAATTTATACAAATATCCGTGTCCTCGGCAGACGTCGTGCTGTCCGGAAAAACAGCGCCTACCATCGGGTCCAATTGTATTTTAAACCAATCCATGAACCTTTGAATATGCACATAAAATTTCATCTAAAACGGTCCAGCCGTTTAGTAAGAGTTAAGTGACAAAGATATATAGAATGATATATATTCAAATATAAAGCTAGTGTTTGAACGAAATTTAAAATTAGTTCAAACGCTACAATCGCTGTAATAATAAAACCTTACTACATTTTGTACTCTAATGATATATATCTAAAACGGTCCAGCCGTTTAGTAAGAGTTAAGTGACAAAGATACATAGAATGATATATATTAAAATATAAAGCTAGTGTTTGAACGAAATATTTAAAATTAGTTCAAACGCTACAATCGCTATAATAATAAAACCTTACTACATTTTGTACTCTAATTCTTTAAAAATTGGTCTTAGGCTTTTCAACATCACGCTGCGATCCTTTAGAAGCCGAGTAAATATAAAAAAAAGGAGTAATAACCAATGCACAAGGTGACTGCCATCATTTTTAAATTAACGCATGTAAAACTACAGAGCATAATTATTTGCGTTTTAAAAATAACAACTGAATAGCATCAGCTGATAGCCCTTTAGTTTCTGGAACACATAAATGAGAATACAGGGCTCCAATGAAACACACGACAGCGAATACACAAAAAAGTGGACCCAATCCTAAATAGGTTACTAACGGGTTGAATATGATGAGAGTGATGAAATTCATTGTCCACGCAACACCTAACACGAGACTGTTACAAAGACCACGTACCTGGAATTAGAAAAATACAATTATTGTAATACATATTAAACGACAATCCTTGTGGTCTATCGGTTTGGATAACAAACCAGACGATATTTCAGAAATAATCCCAGAGATGGCGATGGGCTCGCTCCTGCTACAACAGATTCAAATATACCCATCAAAATGCGAGCTTGTTAATTGTTGCGTTCACCAAGACGTCGATAACAGTCGTGATTTTATATTTATATCTGCTTTTGCACATCTTAATTTTAATAATATGATAAAAGCGAAAGTTTGTGAGTATTTATTAATGTTTGTTACTTTTTCACGCAAAAACTGTATGGATTTTGATGAAACTTCACATTATTAGGTATAGCTTGTACATCAGAATAACATATAGGCTATAAATTTTATGCGGGTAAAACCGCAGGCACAGCTAGTATTTTGTAATAATATCTGTTATCCACAACTTTGTTTGCAACAACTTTCATCCGCTATTTCACTTTATCAGATTATTTTCAAAATAAAACTTAGCCTACATTTATTAATTTGTCAAATGAATACACAATTAAAGGTACAAATGGAGAACTTTTATTTAAATCTATTTAGTCATAAAATTGTAACAAACATACACACAAATGGACATTTTCGCATTTACATTTAATATCGATAAATCAGAATTCGTCCAACAGACAATACTTACTTCTGGTAGAAATACTTCAGCAGGCAACACAAACGGTACTACAGCTGCTCCCAAGTTATATACAAAGCAGTATGAATATATCAGGACCACTGTACACCAGACTGGTGCCCAGTGAAACCACAGTTGTGTTCCAAGTAGCAACGCACAGATACCGGATGCAATTGATGATGACGTCAGTAAAGCCTGGTAACGATTGATTGATTTCTTTAGACATTTAGAAAACATTTGGATTAGAGAAGAAAATAATTTTAAAACAAATTATTGGTTAAAATTTGAATTCAATAATCTTTTACTTTTAAGGAATTTCATGATTATTAATACTAGCAACGTGTTCCGACTTTTTACAGAGTAATATGCAAGAAGAGGTCATAAATTTGATTTTTTTTTTTGCACAGACGAACGGTTCGTGTTCTTCTTAATTTGTTTTCTTTATTTCATTGTACTATACTAAGCTTCTTATTTTATTGTCTCATAACCGTTTACAATTGAAATTCTTAATCTATGATCACTCCAAATTGAAATTTCGAGTGAATCAATTTTGGCCAGGCCGCGTATAACCATTTCATGGATTGTAATGTATAATTCTTTAGCTTCAACCACAAACTTTATTTAAAACGAAATTAAAACGTTGAAAGTATAGTTTGTTATAACAGATTTTTTTTCTAAATTCTGTTAAGTATTTCATGAAAATCGAGTCACAATTATTAGTTTTGTGTGTAAAAATATTAATTGCTATCATAAAACTTATTTCTGAAGTAATATTTTACATTATAAATACGCAAAAATCAATTTTCATGTGATGAAAAAACAATTAAACTGACGGCAAATATGATGGTAAGTGGCAAGCATCGCCTATATACGAGGTAGCGTATATGTGATGCACGTTATACTTGTAATGCGCTATTCCGGAGAACTATAATGTCAAGATCCCGTATCCTGTAATTTAATTGTCGTTTCATATCCTTCAAACAAAATATAAGTTGCAAAACTAGGCTGCTTGGCGACTCAACTACGAGTATGTGATACAAAGGCGCCCATGAAGATTTTGTATAAATTCTATCTTAATAATTTTGCAGAAGTAAAAATAATAGTAATTTATACCTTTCGTCCCAGCCTGTCCAACATTAAAGCACATATCAGGCTTCCCACCAAAAAGTCAGAGGCGAGTAAAATAGAGCATAGGTTTGATTCCATTGACGGTAATGCTTCTTTGAAGAGTGGTTCTGCATACACTTGAAGTACAATTGCCCCCATCAATATCGTGGTAGACATAACTACCAAACATGATAAGAGAGCACGTTTTGAAGATGACGACTTCGCTGAAAAAATGATAATTAATTAAAAAATATTGTTGACAGGGAAAATATTACATCTGTCATAAACATGGTAAAACTTATACCTCATGTAACAATGATCAAACTTAACTTGGAAGTTCATTTCATCATTGCGGGCATTGACATATTAATATAAACGAAATATGATTAGCAATGCCCGCAACTTCTAAATTTGTAGAACGCCATCTATTGACTATAAAATCAAACTACAAAAATAAATAAATATATATATACTGTGCCAACTTTTCTAGTAGACGACATATTAAAACTAACACAAATTTCATTGTTTCTCCTCTTTGACCACTTATATTTAATAAAATATTCTGCGAAGATCATTCTAATACCACCTTTATATGAAATCTCAACATAAACACTGACCAAAGAAACTACGGATGAATATAAATAACATTAAGAACATCGGAAGCAGTATTAATATGATATTATCACACATGATGTTTGTTCAAAACATAAAAAGCAAAATACTACAAAAAATAAATTAATTACAAAGTACATAAATAACATTTTACATTATAAAGACATACACAAAGAAAATTACCTACTAAATATTTATATAATAAGTAATAGCAAATATTAAAAATTACAACTAAAATTGTCTCATGTTCTGCTTTGTATTATAATACACAAGAATACATTTTCTGTTTTATCTTAATAATACAAGTACACAAATGTACATACATACATTCATGATTAAAAGCTACTCACCAAGAAATTTCCACTGTGATTCAGTTTTCATTTCTTCATCGGTGCCTTTGTTGTCGAGTAATGTTTCAACTGCATTTATATCTGTAATACAATAAACAATTATTTCATTGTTTATGAAAATACTATTAGATTCATAATCACATTTCGCTAGAAATGTTCTAACTTAAATAGGTACGTTTTTAATATTATTTTGAAATCTTAAAACAGTATGTAAACTTCTTACATCTGGAGTTTCAAAATAACATAAAGTGAATGTTATACTTTATTCAAAGTCGTCTGCAGGTTTCATCTAGTTTACTTATTTTACCACCATACAATGGTAGAAATAACTGTATTTCATTTTTAAGAATGACGTTGGACAGTGAAATTACTGTGTACGATGGCATGATATCTTAACCTTCAGGAATATCAACGTTGTCGTAATCGCACATCTTGGTGTAAGAATTTATTATAATTATCTCTATTCAATAAAGAAATATTAGCTTATATTAAGGAAATAATTAATACTTCTTAATTATTTCTAATTATAACAATGTTTTATGAATTTATGTACCTAATCATACGTAGCATCCTCTATTGCACTTAGACCTTAGTCATTTTTATCTTTATTTTAGTATTACAGAATGATCTCTTGTTTTATTACCTTTTTCCTGTAATAGCCTCTCTATCCTTGGATCTAATAGCAATTTAATTTTTTTTATCTCCGTTTCAACTACTTTGGAATTTGCGTCTACTCGTCTGTAGAAAGCTATTGATTTCGCTGCATCCTGAAATATATATATTTTTTAAAACGTATAGTTCAAATATCAAAATTTTTGATACCGTCATTTATTTATATAAATGAACAATACTACAGGTGGTATGTCTCTCTGGAGACACCTTTACTGAATGGTGATCTTTGTAATCCTCGTCATGTCAGTTCAAATGAACCGAAATAAATATGCAAAAATAATAATAAAAATTAAGTGATCGCTGTCAAAGACATATGAGAAAAACTATTATAGGGGCTCTCCAACAACGTGCTGTTAGGGTTTTTCTGTGTTTGTCTGTGCTTTTGTGCAGGCATTGTCTAAGTTTTAAAGAATTTAGATACAGTTTTCAATAATATATTATGCTAAAATTTCGTTCATTTTATTCCAATCGGTTTACAAATGATAAAATTAATTATACTAAATCGCGAGATCAGTTAGTATATATGTATGTAGATAATATAGTAATACAGATTTATAACACAATAAGCTTTACACATATGTATATATCCAGTTTGATCTTGGGTTTTCCTTAGGTTCGTCACACTTTGTATTCCTATATAATTTTATCAAGTTTTACCTCCTAGTATATTCATTAATTTTATTTGCAGCGTACCTTATCTTACGTATTGTTTACTTGTGAATATAATTTTGTAGCTTTACTTTATTTGTTTTATAATAGTCGTTACGTTTGTCTTTATTTATAGACTAATTAATAAAGACCTTTTTAATTCAAAGAATGTGGTAATTCGAAAGGTCTACTCACTAGCTACTAGGTACTGGGCAATCATAACCTGTATGGATGAATGATGATTTACACCCGAGTGATACTGACACCAAAAAAAATTGTATATTAATTTATATTTCTGACTGAATATCAAGCAAACACTATCAAACTAAAAAATATTCCTAGAGAAGGCAGTAGGCTCGCCATTAAAATATACTCATCGAAATAGTGGATGTGTTGCGTTCACCACATCATCATCATCGTTGATAATGATTCTAACATCTGGGATAGCAGGCATGTTAGTTTATTTCTATAATAAACAAGGTTGGTAAATAAGGACTGTAATTTAAATTGTATCAAGCATTAATTCGTTACTGTACGTCGGTAACTTTATTTATTGATTTTAATAATTATTATTTTGCTAATTCTGTATGTGTAACATATTCTTCTTTTGAAACCTCTATACATTTTTTTACAAAAGTGAAGTATTTGTTTAGTTGTCTTAGGAACTGCTGTTTTGAAAATTTATTATACTGTTCGATAGCTAATTTATGTAGGCTATATAAAATCAAGCTTCAACCAATATGTAACGCAGACGAAGTAGTAGTTCTTAATCAGTTACATTTAAATGCTTGAATTTTAACTTACTATAATTGAATATATTAAGAAAATTTAAAAAACTTGTTAAATAGTTAAAGCGTACCTAGCGCAATTTTTATGCTACGTTTACATTCAGCCGCTTCCCCTGCCAATCGCGCTGCCGGAAATATTGCTGGGCGACAACTGAGCGAGAGGGCTGAATGTAAAAACACGCTGCCACTCGTGCTGCCAGTCCTTTGACTCGCGCACGAAAAATCGCCAATCGAGGGAGCGCCGGGCAGCGCGAGTGGCAGCGCTAATAGCATGGAAAGTGTTTCCACTCGTGTATACACTCTCGCGCTGCTCACTTCCCTGTCCACTCGGGCTGAGTGTATGAAAAAGTCTAGAAATAATATAATATTGGTATAGACTGGTAATGATGATATAGTATAGTGGAATTAGTGTAACCTTACCTCAAGTTTTCCCTTTTGTACCAGAAAAACAGGAGATTCCTTGAGTAGCGCCAACATCAATATATAAAGGATCGATATAATCAAATGTGTCTTCACCACTTGATGATATGATAAGTAACCGCCCAGTACATATGATACCAGTAATCCAATGAAGTAACACGATGCCACAGTCGATGCCAGGGCACCTCTTATAGAATCTTGACATATTTCAGATATATACACAGCCGAAACCACTTGACCCGCAGCGCCAGCGCCAGCAAATCCAACTGATGCAAGTACCAGGGGCACATGAGTCGTAAAAGATATTACTGTCCAAGCAATCTGGAAACACCAAGTAGGAGATTTTGTACAAAACCGTCTACGTGAGTCCTCTTATTCTACCGGCAAGCAGCTTGTCTTATACGCTGTGCTATGGTTTGAAAGTTAAATTGCAGGATACGGAAATATGAGATCTTAGTCCTCAGAAATGAGAATACTTAGGATACCCATTCCTATCATATAGGTAGTACAATTTCATTTTATTATGTCCATAGTCTTGTTAATATTTATAAGAGACAATAACATAAAAAAAGGACTATAATCGAATTATAAAGTAAGAGTCATGACACCTTAATTCTCTGGAATTGGAACGTACGAATGGTATGATGGGTCGCATGGTAACGTGATATCGGTAGTGCTGTTCATGCATATAGGCAATTGTTACCGCTTACCATCAAATGGGCAGTTAGTTATAATGGCAAATATCCATTCCAATTACATTAAAAAAACACGTACCACAAATGGTATTCCAAACAGCATAGCCGCGTACTTCCTACCAATTTTATTGAGAACATAACCACAGAATGGTGTTACAATTAATGCTCCAATGTTTGTCAAACTTCCCAACAGTGACATCTCCGTTTGTGACATGGGTGCTGATAAGACTGTGTCATTGGACATAAAGTTGGCGGCTGTGTACGATGGCCACGCATAGACGAATCCTGTGAGACTCATCAAAAGGGAAACTGCAAGGAAATACATCAAAAAATATATGACTCTTTAGGTAGACATCTTAGTGGTCTAGAAGTTTAACCCATCGCATTACTTCCGATGGACGCGGGTTCGATTTCTTGCACGATGCAAACATCAGTGTTCATTTATATAAATGTATTTAGATAATTTTATTAGTAAGGTATCCATAACACAAGTCCGGCCTAACTAGAATCTAAATGATTCTGTGGGAATTGTCCTGGGTTATTAATGATATAACAAAAATAGTTCTTGTAAGGAATCTTTCTTTTTACGTTTTTATCTGAAGTAAAGGACAAACAATTTAGTGACCGTATGACCGATACTTGATGGAAAGTGGTAATTATCGCCAGTATACATAAACAGCACAACGGACGTATAGAAATACCCACGCACGCAACTTTGTATTAAATTTACCTTTTTTAAACTTTGCCTCATTTAAATCACAAACAACGAAAAGCTAATGATTATTGATAAATAAATAAATATAAATTAATAACTTACTGGCCAATGTGCCCAATCCTTGAACAATAATGGCGGAAAATTTCACTTTCTCTCCAGTCATTTTTATACTTTATTTGTCGATAAATAATTTAAATATGAAGAGCTGTAGGAACTCTCCACCACTTACTAACTTAATTAATGTTAACTTGTGCTATAGTATATCATTTTAACATTCAGTCTAACCATTATCTTTACGACGCGACGTGATCCAACATTGTTATATAGATTACTATAATGGATAGATTATGTTAATGACAATAGACATATCATAAACAATAGCTTTACTTGTGTACTTTTGATTTTTGTGTACTGTGATAGTTATATTCTGTAATTTTAATGTCATTGTCCCTTCTTTAGAATTTTCAACGTTGTTTAGGCAAATATTTCTACCAATAGCTTTGAGTTTGTTTGTTTGTTTAAAAGGTGAAGTACCTATAATATAGCACTGGTATTACGAGATATTGAGACACAATAACTTACCATCAAATTACCAAAATTACGACGTTACTCATTATCAGCTCATTAGAGTAAGATTTTGTACTCAATAATAAGTATAAAAATCTTTGTCGCAACTTAATAATTGATCCTCTCATTACAAGGTATAATTTAGTTTACAGGTTTGATATAGCATAGTATGGACTTTCCAACTTCATTCTTCTAAGTTGAAAAATTATACTATGGATAGTATAATTTTCGAATGGAAACACAGGAGGAATGCGGAAAACAGTGTATTTTATGATATATCGTAAAATGGCTGTTTTTATTGTATTAAAAAAGTAGTATGACATATAATAAAACAATATATAATTCTCTCAGCAAACGAGTATATTTCTTCTTTATTTCCAATATATAAATAAAGAATACGAAAGGTACTAAGTACTTCTTGTTCATATTTCTGAATAGACTAAAGTTCACTTCTTCATAATAAAAATAATGACAGAGACATAGAGAAGCTATGTAATCGTAGTATGCACTCGGCTATAGAAATAGTCTCAAGCAACAAATTATATTTATTACAGTAATAATTAATGAATTTAACAATAATAATTAAATTTCTTGTCTAAATTATACATCGAGAACATTTTATAATTTATTTATTACCAAAAATAATAAAAAGAAAATATTTACTTTTTATTATTTTTGGTAATTAATACAAAAATATTTATAAAAAAATAATCTATATTTCCTACCAATATATAACAATATTTTTTCATATATATGAGGTTAAACGAGTTTGCTGCTCTCCTAATGGTAAGTGATTATCGCCTATGAGCTCCCTCAACACCAGGGGAAATGCACGTGCGTTGCCGTCCTTTTAAAAAGGAGTAAGCTCTTTTCTAGAGGGTTTCAATATCGTATCGTTTCGGAAATACCATTGCTGGAAGGTGATTCCTCAATGTGCCGGGCAAAAAGTTTCTGGAAAAATGCAGGATGGAATATCGTCATCTGATATTCGCATTTAGATAAATAATAATGCAGATATTTTTACCAAATAAAACATTATTACATATGGAACTAAAATGAGAACTCCAGTTGTCGGTAGTTAGGGTTATAGATTCAAAAACCTCTTGGCGTTCCTAACATTACTATTTACATTTATTTATTGTCACCTAATAATTTTTATATAAAATTTCATAAAAAGTAAGTAATAAATATACACCAATTCTACTAATAATCACTATTAAACCACTTCGATTTATTTCTTTTTCTTTAAAAATAACACTTGTATAGCATCCACTGATAGTCCTTTTGTCTCTGGTAATCTGAATTGACCATAGACAGACGTAAAGAAACAGATGGCGGAGAAAATGTAGAACACTGGACCCAGGCCGAGCTGCTCAACTAAGGGATTGAAGACTAGAAGAGTGACAAAGTTACCCATCCACATAATTGATAGGCCTATACTACTGCATATGTCCCTGACCTAAAATTAAAAAAAAGTTTTTTATGCACAAAAACAATAAATCTCACTAAGGTAAACTTTGTAAAAAGTCATCTGTGTAGGTAGTTGAGTTGCACCTATTATACGTCACAGGCGCCAAGCAGATTGCTTTGTAAACTGTGTTTCGTTTATGAGGTGAAGTCAAAGATTAAAGACATCTTTGTCTTCCAGAATGGCAATTTAGATGAAAGTTCAAAACAACGTGACGTCCATACTGCTGGTTACGTGTGTAGAATAGAATAGAATAGAATAGAAAATCATTTATTCAAATAAACTTAATTTAAGCACTTTTGAATAGTCATAACAATTTGTTTTTTATCTTCCAGAATGGTGTTGCAAATTTTGTAGATGAAAGTTCAAAACAACAAGTGGGTCACATGTCCATGATAAGAGCAAACCAGTACAACAAACAACTACAAGCAGCACTCGTTCACGAGTATGACGTGTGTAGATGACCCGGCCGACCACGCCGCCACATTCTGGACATTTTAGTGAGCATGACTACTCATTCCACACGACCACGTCACAGCTACAAAAATTACTATATGGTAGTTACAGTTTCGCCACATAGATGAAAGTTACCAATTACCATCAGGTGGGTCTAAAATGTTTGCCAATCCATTTATTTCCTATTTTAAACATTTTACTTATTGAAAGGCTCATTATTTCTGAGTGTTAATTATCCTTTATACATATATTACATCATCTGTAATTTCATTTACCTGGTAGTAAGACAGGCGGTATTTTTGAAAATATTTTGGCTCTTTACAATAATTGCAGTAATGTAAATTAAATGAAATCATTATTTGCGATAAATTAGTGCCAAAAAAAAGTATTTAAGTATTCCTATCAATTGTTTAGCGCCCATAACACAAGCTCTACTTAGCTTAAGTCTAGTTAGCGTTGTGTGAATTGTTTACGGTTTCTATTGTTTTTTTTTTTTAGATATTACCTCGGGTAGGAACACCTCAGCCATCAGCACAAATGGTATCATGCCACATCCCAACGAGAATGTAAAACTGAACGCGTATATTAAAAACGCTGTGAACCAATGTGGCGCCCAGTGCAGTTGCAATTGACTGCCCAATAGCAACGTACAGATACCACATGCTAGTGATGTGATGACGAACAGTTTCTGTGAACAAAAAACAGCCTATTTCAGCCGCCAAACAACTTTGGTAGAGGTAACCATCGTGGTGAACTTTCCATGAATGATTAACTAACCAAATTTTATGGTCATCTTGCGATGGTACCGTGTCAGCGTATAACGTAGACGGAAGTATTTAATATTTGTTTAATACAACAAGAAAAAGTTTACGTAACTTGTTTATTCTAACCTAAATTATTAGGGGAAGGGGATTGTCAGTGGAATTATAATCCCATTACTAATGTACCATATCAGGTTGACCTCCACGCGTTTTCCCTGGAAAACATCGTGATAAATTACTGGTGAATTTGTCATGATAGGCTAACTGACCTGACCTCATGCTCGTCTTATAATCCTCCACTGGTACCACGCCAGCGTAAACCGTTAGCGAAGGCGGGTGCACCATTTCATTATCATTCATTAAAAAACCTAAATTATTACTTATTAATTCAATAGCCTATTAAAAATCAAACCAAAATATCTTTATTCATATAGATCTACTACAGAGACTTGTGGTAACTCGGATCTATTGTTAGAAGTTAGGAGATTTATTTACCTTCCTTCCAAATCTGTCAACGACCAACACGCATCCAAAACTGGCTATGAAGAAGTCGATTGCTAAAAATATTGAACACATATTTGGTGGCATCGAAGGTACAGCGTCTTTGAACAGAGGCTCTGCATAAACTTGAAGAACTATGCAGCCCATCAGAAGAGTCAACGTCATCACTACAAGTACAGTAACCAGCGCTCGCTTTGATGATTTCGATGATCCTGCAGAAGAAATAGCATTATCTTTCAGTCATACTATAGTATTATATTGTGGAACTGTGTTTGCCTGTTTTCTTAGACACACTGTGTTTGTTTTCTCGACTAAACGGCTAAATATTAATTTCAGTCTAATTTACATATAAAATAAAGACAAATTAAGTTCCGGTAATCATGAAGACATGGACTATTAATTTTAAAAAAATCATTCACCACTGATGTATTACTTAAGTTATTAATGAAATTCAATTCATGTAAGAGAACAACATAGATTGTATTCCAAACAGGCGACACCGCTGAATACAACTAGTAATAGCAAACCTAAAATTTTTTTAAACTGTGTTTAAAGCTATTCTTTGTTACCTTCAATAGTATTAAAATACACTTACTTAATATCTTCCAAGGTGATTCCTTATTTATTTCAAGATCCTTCCCTAATTTTTCATTTAACAATTCACTTGTAACTTCGGGATCTGAAATTTATTCGTAATTCATGAAAATATTGCTATAATATTAATCAAATCAATGTCACATTTAATATTTATTTGATTATATACAACTTTATTAACATGATTTATATATAATTTCAATTTAAATTAACTTTATATAGTACAAGCAGTGCTCGCGACTTCGTTCGCGCTGCGCAACTAAAGCTCTCAAATATGAATAATTTTCTCCGTTTTTGAAACATTTTTCACTGATGTTTCGCTTCTATTAGTCGTAATGTCATATAGCTTAAAGCCTTCCTCGCCAAATGGACTATCCAACACAAAAAAATCAATTCGACCCAGTACTTCCTGAAATTAGCACGTTCAAACAAACTCTTCGGCGTTATAATATTAGTATAGACATATCCTTAAATATAGGAACTATCAATATCCATTATTTATGCTAAATTAAAATATTCGTTACCACTCCTGGGATATTCCTCCTCACTCCTGGGGAATCTTTGGGTCGTCGGTTTCTTTTTTTAATCATAATGTTATCCACCCGATTGCTCTAGCTATGTGTACTGGTGAGGTATTAGTAAAGGATAATACGATGAACATGAAATCAGGTCAGTAAGCGTTTAAATTCCTCACTGGTTTAACGACGATAGTTTCCAGAGGGGACTGTGGAACCGCGTAGTGAAGTAAGTTACATAATAATGGATAAACATTTTACCTTGCTGCTCGGCAAGAATCTTCTCCAATCTTGGATCTAATTGTAATCTTATTTTTCGTAACTCTATCTCTACTTCTTTTGAATATATATCAACTTGATTGTAAAACGCTATAGATTTAGCTGCTTCCTGCATAAAAAAAAATACGTTAAATCATGTTAAAAATGTTGAATTAAAGCATATGGCTTTAATACGTCTTTGTACACAATTATATAGTTCACTTTCACTTTTATATCCTACTAGATGTATCTTAAGATTTCACCCTCATTTCATTTAAAAGTATTGACTGCCGCCCAATTTCTTATTTTCCTTGTAATCCGACTTTTAATCCTGATGGAATATTAAAAATCAACACGATAAAGGTTAGAACTCAATCATATGTTGATTACATTTGAATGCAATGACACTTTTGCCGGCGTCATTTCTTGGATTAATTTTGTTTGTTCTTTGTTTTTTCATTACCGTAGCGTCTGTCATAAATATAAATTGATTAAACTAAGATATTCTCGGCTCTGATTATATTTATTTAATTTATGTTGATTTATTCTTACCTCTTCTTTGCCAACACGTACTAAATGAACAGGAGATTCTTTGAGGAACATAAGCAGCAACATACCAGCTACTGATAATGTCAAATGCGCATATACAACTTGATAATACGTTAGATATCCTCCAAGAACATAGGATATTAGAAGACCGAGAAAAAAGCCCGAAGATGAACACGCAGTCATTCCTCCTCTAATAGAGGCATGTGATATTTCTGATATGTAAATGAGGGAAACGTTTTGCCCTCCTATACCTATTCCAGCCACCGTCATAGCTATGAGTATAAGAGTTACGTTTGTGGTCAACGAAATTATTGCCCATGCCATCTGGAATTTAAAAAGAATCGTATAAGTATATAGAGAATGGCAGACAGTTGACGGTTCATCTGAATCATCACATCAGTATACAAAGTTTAAGATCCTCTTTCTACCGGAATAGGAACTCGTCTGCGATTGACTCACTCTTTCATCTCCGTTTTGAACCCCATTAACCAATTTTCTTTATTTATATTTGATTAACAGCCTAAAAAATAAGTTTCCGGCCTCTAGCTTTTAAAATGAACCTGTGTCTTTTCTCAGAATTTAGACTATCTCTGTACCAAATTTCATTTAAATCCATTTAGTAGTTTTGGCGTCCAAGTGAAACAGACAGCAGACAGATATGTATATAGTTTTTTTTATGTTATTGGGATGGCAGATTAGTTGACGGTTCATCTGAATTCAGTGATACTGACTCACATCAGTAGTTACATAAAGTCCAATATTTCTATCGGATGCGATTGACCCATTCTGTCTCACCTTTTTTTATTTCAACCTCAGAGCTAGCTTTTTTATTTGATATATAGTTTTTTATATCATTCGAATGCCAGATAAGTTAGCGGTTCATCTAAACGAAGTACGAACTACATGGTCACTTTGTCTCACCATTTTTTTTATTTCAACCTCAGGGCCCTCTTTTTTAATTTTATTTAATAATCTAAATTAGAATTTTCTCTAAAAACTGTCAATTGCAAGTATGTATAACAAAGTGTACTCACAACGTAAGGCAATCCAAACAAGATTGTAGCATATTTTCTACCAAGCACATTGAATGCATAACCACAAAATGGCGTTGCTATTAATCCCCCTATGTTTGGTAAACTACCCAGTAGTGATATCTCCCAGGTAGACATAGGTTTAGAGAGTACAGTTTCGTTTGATCTGAAGAAATCTGTTGTGTACGACGGCCACGCGAAAACATATCCCGTTTGACATGCTAGGAATGATACTGGAAGTATATAAACATAAAAATATATATTAAAGCCTCTTAAATGCAAATATCGCGAGTTCCAATCTGCCAGACATAAAAAATATATATATATTGACTGACTCTCAGATTATGCAATCTAGAATTAATATACAAGGCGGAGTTAGGCTCGCTTCCTTCCTGGTATTCAAATATACCCAGAATCTGTGGGCACATGTGAGACATAAAAAATATATATATATTAGTATGCTAATTATACAATCATCATTACATAGTATAAAATAAAGTCGCTCTCGCTGTCTGTTCCTATGTATTTCATCATCATCACATTGCAGTCCACTGCTGGACATTCTCCCAAGGCACGCCACTGGGCACGATCTTCCTTCTCTTCCATTTTTTACCCGCAACCCTACGTATGTCGTCGCTCCAAATACACTACGTTTGCCAATTCGAAGAACACGCCTACTGTGGCGAGCATCGGTTCTACGACAGATAACCAGCCCACTGCCACTCTCAAATACGAAGAGCTATGTCGAGATATAACACCGGCAATTGCCTTTCCATAGCTCGTTGAGCTCTCTCTTGGTGGACCAGTCGTATCGTCAGTGTCCACGTTTCGGCACCGTATGTCATAACGGGTATAAAACCTTGTCATTTGTGGTAGCGACGACGAGAAGACTTGACGAAGTATTTTTTTTTACCTAGTTGGAGCGTTTGCTAATAAATATATAACAACTCATCATTACATACGTATAAACATGATCTTGGTTTTGTCCAAATTCATCCGAAGACTGCGTTGAGACGACTCAGCCAGGCCATTCAGCATCTGCTGTAAGTCCTATGTATGCTTAAATCTTTAAAATTACGCATCGGATTTTGAAGCGGTTTTTTTAAATAGATAGAATGATTCAAGAGGAAGGTTTATAAATATAATACATGTACACCCATGCGAAGCCGGGGTGGGTAGCTAGTATTCTATAAAATATACTATAGCCATTGAGCGTTAAGAATGAAAACGAATAGTGTGATGTAATAAAAAACCTCTAATGGTAAAGTATAATAAAAGTATATACCTACATAAAGTAATGACAACCAAAGGTAATAAATAGGAACTATTTAGTTTGTTTTATTTAAAAAATAACAAATAATACATACTGCAAAATGTTCCCCAACATTGTATAGCGAAAGCTGACGATTTTAATTTCTCACTGTCCATTTTGAACAAATGTCACTTATTATTAAAAAAAATCTTTGTTAATTTAGTTTGTAATATTTCTACATTCTTATTTTATTATTTTTCCTTTCCATTAAATTAAATTAAAACTTTCTTGTTTTTACAAAATATCTTATACAATAAAAATATTTACAAAAAAGAATAAACTACATATGTCACAAACAGTGGAAAGGACTAAGTTATCGGTTCAGATACAGAGTCAAGAAAATCGTGACAATTACAATTATTACTATTATAAAAATACTCGTTATTGTAACATAATTTATTATTAATATGTTAATGATAACTAACGTGGTATTTGATACTTGGGTTTATTAATAAATACATTGATGTAAGACTACTCCAACTACCGACACTTATCAGATAAGAGTACAGAAAAGATTCAAGTGTTTAATAACCAGGTATTATGTTAGTGTAGACGGAAATCTTTATGTAAATATATATATTGATATTATAGTCAGAACTAGCTTGCCGCTCCAGCTTTACACGTGTAGTAATGGACCAATTTTCAGTTTAATCGTCTTCTCTCTACGTTCGTACTGTATATGAAGAAACAAATAACAGAAAAATCTATTTAGTATATACCGCGCTTAATAGAAACTGAATTAACTTACACATTTAAAATTTTTGAAAAATAGTCATTATTTGTAAAGATGGTATTTTCAAAATTTGTAACTTTTGAATCAAGTCAGTTTATTATTAAGCACGAGGTATATAATTTTATATCCTGTACGAATGTTCAAACATATTCATTCATACAAACGTATGAATGAATGTTTGAACACTCAAACACTACTATCAACGTAACAAAAAAAATACAAATAGGTGCAGCCATTCCTAATTAATGAGCTTATATACATATATACATTTGGCAATTATCATCGCTGGTAAAAAAATATTTGTACTGTGATCAAATCGTGTAATATTTTTTTCTTTCAACGCAATCAAGAAACGTCAGAACTTTGTCAATATTTTATTTCACATGATTAAATTTCTTAAATTTATCTAAGTAGTATAAATATATTGAGAATATTTTTATTTATTTATTTGTATCTGAAATTTTAGGTGGTGTAGTCAGGAATATTGTTAACTGTGAACGCAAAAATTAAAAAGGAGTTCTTGTGATTGCACTTATTTTTCAATTTACATGTTACTAGCTATGCCCGCGGTTGCGCGTGAATATGTTATTTATATGTTATTCTAACGTCTAAGCTATATTACTGTAAAGTTTCATCAAAATCCGTTCAATAGTTTTTGCATGAAAGAGTAACAAACATCCATCCTTACACACAAACTTTCACGTTTATAATATTAGTAAGATTTGTTATTATAATGAGGTTTTTTTTATATTATTTTATATGTACACTGTTAACAAATTAAATGAAAAGTGTTGTATGTCGGGGGCAATAGAAAAATCCTTGTTGGATAGTTCACAAATGTAATCCAGTGGAATGAACATTTACTACTTTTTATATGAATTAGATACATGGTTCAATATCCAACAGTGCTTAATTAATATATTTAATTTAATAAAATTAGATAAGATAATTAGATTATTACATTTAGAGATAGTTATAAATTTTTATTGTTCAATGTCTTCAAGATAATATCTTATTTGCTGCCACGTTGTCAAATTTACGTGGCAGTAAATATATTTAGGGATCACACTCATACGTATTGCGAATCCTTTCCCCTTTTTTATTTTCTTATTAATTTGTAAAATTTATCTACCATTTTTTACCATAATGCCCATTATTTGAAACATTATTGTTGCAGAAAACATGGCATAAACAAATATAGTACTGACCTAACTTTAGAGGAGCAGCATTTGAACCATAAAGAATGGTTACCAGTCTACCAGTAATTGAAATGGCAAAGTAGCTGATGACTTAATGGTGAGCCGCAAATATCTCCTATATGTATCTCACTCATCTCTTTTTCAAAAGAACGCCTACAAATTTTATATTAGCAATTTGACTAATCTTCCACACAAATATAATATAGCGTCAGGTTCATCGACTAATGAATGCATTCAGTATCAATCGCGAACATTCTTATATAATACTTAGTTATATAGCTCCGTATTCCAAGTTTTTTTTATAGTTTTCTTTTTACCTATACACAATATACCTATACAAAATAAAACTACCATATCCATTTTTATTGAATATGCCACTTTTACATCTCAGGTATTTTTCTATGTATTAACCATTCATTCATATATTCATTCATTCATAATTTAAGAGCTACGCTCTTGTCGGTGGAGCTATTGCATAACCATAATCATTTTAATTTTTTTATATTTAATTTACTGCTAAAATCTTATTTCCGTACTATACCCTTGGAAATACCGCTGAATTCATTCAGAATTCTGAATTGCCCATAAGCATCCTTTTGATTCTTAAAATTATTATTAGTAATGGTAGTAGGACATAAATCTCTAATCACTGCTAAAAGTACAGAAGTTTCCTAGAGCAGTATGATTAAGGAAATAATTTTACGAAAGAGTCTCTAAATTGGTATGTAAATAATATGATATGCAGTTTTTTGTCAATTCTTTTATTTTACAATAAAAAAATCTTAATCTAATATTTACACTGTTTCTTTTCATTTATGACTTAAATCAATGTTTTCATACCGTCTCTCATTCTAGCTATTAATCTATCTTTACGTCCCTTACGGACTAGGCAGAGAGAATTTTCATTCGAAATTATGATTTTTATGATTAATACTTATTCGGTAACTATAAATACTTTGTTTACTTAATATACAATATCTATCATCTGTTTAGTTTGTTACAATAATTATTATTATAAATTGGCAGTGTTAATTAAATTAAATGAAATATTATCATAATCATACATCACAACATTTTTGTTGAAATACTTAAAAAACAAATTAACTGTTTCATCAATGGACAAAGAAAATGTTAAAATGAAGTGACAGGTAAAAAATACTTATTTTTTTAAATTATATTTGATAGTGGCACGTGATTTTTTCTTTTATACGCTGGTATATTTGTTTTATTTTTCAAATGTCACAACATTTAAACAATTAACACTTTTTTATGTTGTCAAATAACTCTGAACTCACATTTGAGTTATATTTAATTATTTTTATTAAGTTATCATACGTTTTAATCGGTATTAAGAAAGTTTATTCGAACCCCTTGATTTCATCCAACAAAGTGATACCATGACACTACTTAGCAAAGACCCTAGCAACACTAAAACTCCACCCCATAATGCTGCTGATGATGAAATACAAAATCCAGTCGGCTCCGAAGGCAGGTCTTCAGCGAATACTACTCTCAAACCTTTACTGATTGTCGTGGATGGCTCAATAGTAGAGTTACCCACATGAATAATATCTCTTCGTCTCCTCCTAGGTTCGATGCTTCCAGGTAGGGGACATACATCACAGTCGGTCTTACATAATTCCACATCACATTGGATGATCAAATCCATTTCATCAGGGAACTTGAAAGCATTGAAGAATGCATATGCAATGATGGACGCTCCTGTGTTTCCTGTCTCTCTAGTCTTCTGGAATGCACCAAATAGTTTAGGTTTAAGCACACAACCGTTACTGTCTGTTAGTGGTACAATATGATTACTTTCAGAGTCACGAGCAACGCATTCTCTTACTAAGATATCAAAACCAGCATCACCAGTTACAGTAACGACCAATGTCATAATTTCACCAATTTTGACCAAACCGTTCGCTTCTGGAGCAAATGGACCACGTCCTATTTGGATGTCTAATCGGGCCATAGCAGTATCGCCACTGAAGTTGCTGGTGATCTGATTTAACATGCCAACACTAAGCGAGGAAACTAATTGCTTGGTAAGATTGCCTTCCCACAGGCATCTTACTCGACGAATGTGATCCCAAACTTCCTGGATACCTGGTTCATTCTGAAGTACCAAAACGTTTTCTAAATATGCCTGACCTTCATTCTGGAAGTCGCTGAAGAACCTCGTGCCACAAGTGTTTAAACTGACAGTGAAAGAATATTTGATCTGATTGGAGTTTTCCCGTACGTACACGCAGTCAGGTTGGTTGTAATGATCTTGAGAGTAGATGATGCCATTATAAACTTTATTGAACTCAATGTTGATTGTCATCATGTCTTTACCGCAATCAACAGTGATGGCGTGAATATGTGGTGGATGACGATTATCATCCTCGGTTGAGGAGGAAGAGCTTCCATCTCCGATGTCTGGTCGTGATGGTCGCTGTGGTTGGGACGGCACTTCAAAAGGTGACTGTGTGTTTTCATCTGGTTTGTAGGGAGGAGAGGTTGGTTGACTGGGTTGGTAACTGGATTGAGGCGGTTGATACGATGGCTGGCTAGGTTGATAAGTTGGTTGGCTAGGAGGTTGGTAAGTGGGCTGATTGGGTGGTTGATATGTGGACTGACTAGGAGGTTTGTAAGTGGGCTGATTGGGTGGTTGGTATGTAGACTGACTAGGAGGTCTGTAAGTGGGCTGACTGGGAGTTTGATATGATGGTTGGCTGGGTGGTTGATATGTAGGCTGACTGGGTGGTTGGTAAGTAGGTTGGCTGGGTGGTTGATATGTAGGTTGACTGGGTGGTTGATAAGTAGGTTGGTTAGGTGGTTGATTCGGTGTTTGATAGGATGGTTGGTTTGGATTGTAGGTTGGCAGACCAGGTTGATACTCAGGTTGACTTGGTTGATACGATGGAGAGCTAGGCTGGCTTGGCTGGTAAGGAGATTGTGTCGATTGTGAAGGTTGATATGCAGGTTGAGTTGGTTGACTTGGTTTATAGGATGGTTGACTCGGTGAATACGGTTGGTCTGGTTGGCTTGGTTGATTAGACGGGTATCCAGGACTGGTGTATGGTGGACTAGTAGGCGGTGGTCCTTCATTGTAAGCTGGTGTAGGCCGGGATCCACTTGGTGGGTATCCAGTTGGTGGTAAGTAGCTAGCTGGTTCAAAAGGCCGTGGCTTCTCAGGTTTGCCTCCAAAGTATTGACGCGCTGAAATTAGTAAAAAAATATATTAGAATGCTTAACAAAAATGTTAATAGTTTGTGCTAATATGAACTGTGTCACTGTGTTATATACAGTGCTTTTTGACATAATGTGCAAATTTTACACCCCTTTTATTGCATAGTGCTTTGTTTAGTGGACACAGTGTAAAGTACTAAAGTATAGTGTTATAAAGTAAAATATAAATTACGTAATTTGTATAATGCACTTAGTGACACTGAAAAGAATTTACACACAATTATATATGTTTTTATAATTTATTGCATAAAACCATATTTATATTTAGATAATAAATCAGAGAAAACGATTAAATAGAAAAACTTATAACGAAAAGTTTATATTCAATGCTGTAATCTTCGACTGATATGTGTGTAACTATAGTACCAATAAAACATAATAATAATAATAGTCAACTAATTTTATGTAGTTTTACACATTGTTTCCATATTTACTGCATCTCAAATTATTTTTAATAAATCATAAAAAAATGCTAAGAAGTAGTTTATGGAGACAATAACGATAACGACAATCACGAAAACTTACGGTAAATTGTTTAGTCTAATTTAAATTACTTGTTAATATTATTTTAATTATCTAAAATTATATATTACTCTGTACTTATTAATAATATGGATTTTTAAATAAGTATACGTTTACACAAATTATTAAATTATACCAAATCTAAAATAAATGCCTCTTATTTTCTTACAGTATACATAACAAATTCAGAATCTTCATAAAAATCAAATTCAAATTACAACTCAACAATGCAGACCTTTCCTATTTTTCTGCTGATACAACCCCTGTATCCACTGCAGTAGATTGGAGACCATCTCATCTGCGTCTGCCTGACGTGCTGACTGCAGATCCGCTGAAAACCAGTTCATCATCAGGAACAAAATCACCAACGGTGGAAGAAGCCATCACCGGCTAATAACTGCAGCTATAGCATTAGCCATAAGATGTTTTAGGAAAGCTTCGAATCAACAGATTAGTATGAGATGAATTGACCTGAATCAATAGGCTAAACAATTAGGAAATACATTTATAAATGAAAAGGAACAAAGTATGAAGATTTATGATTGAAATATGATAGTTTACTAGGGTTATCAATGTTATATCACTTATAAGGCATACGCAAATATTTATCATTTGTTAAATTTTAAATCATACTGAACAGCAAAAGTAATGTTTTGTTAATTTGACAAATTTATTAATGATTATTATTCTAAAACTTGTTACTTTAATTACAAGCCCTCTTAGTATTTATGGTTAAATCTCTATCAATGTACAGTTCTTTCAAGATATTACTTTAAATTCATATGATAGATAGTTGATATTTTGCATAAAATTAAATAACACATTAACATTGATTACCAATAAATCTGTTATAAATTCATATAATTGACATAAACCAAATTGTCAAGAAACATGCATATGACGACAAAATTGATAAAATGATAGAACAATAGAAGAACAACGAGAGAAAAACATGCAGGTTATGACAAAGTAAAAAGAAACTTGTTTAACAAGAAGAACACTGATAGAACATGCAGATTACAACAATTTTTTTCTATTACGATGGAGGAAAACTAGCCTACGGCCCATCTGATAACGGTCACCGTAGTCTATAGATGCCTGAAACACCAGGGTTGTCGCGCTGCCATCCCTTAAGAAACCTTAATATACCCTTCTTGAAAAACCCCATGCTATAATCTTACGAAAATAAATCTTAGTTTATTTTAGAGAAACAAGACGCTGTAAATGAATAAGTAGTAATAGAATGTTAATAATAATTATAGAAGCTGTATATTATTCCAAATATAAAACAATATTGTTACAACTTATATTACGGTATATTATTATATACAAAAAGCAAATAGTATGGTATTATTAAGTAAATTTTATATTAAGAACTTGTAGCAAGAAATAGTATAACTACATAAGAATAATAAACTATTTGGTAATTATCAAAATAAATTATTTACTTCGTCGTAAAGGTTAACAGTGAAGTAGAAACCTTCAATAATAATCAGCCTCAGTGGAATCGGTTAACACCACCGCCTTACTTCAAATGGTGGTAGGTTCATTTCCTCCCACAATACGAATATTTGTATTTATGAGTTTGATTGTTTGTGTTGGTGTGTTTTGTTATTATATATGTATTTACAAAAAAAAACTATCAGTTGTCTCGTACCCATAATACAAGCCCTGCTCGGCTTCGCTACACTACAATTCCATAGTTTAAGACTATAAATGTCTTAAACTATGGAATTTTGTTTTCCTTACACATAAATTATTCAGAAATACACGATAAGTTTTTTTTATATTTATAATAATAAAGTGCTAGCGTAAAAGTATTGCCACCTACCGACCAAATTTCAGAGCATTCAGGACTGTATTCAAAATCCAGTCGTTTAGGATGAGTTACAAATACACCTAGATTAGAATTATATGTACATATTATTTTCGAAGACAATATATATATTTACATTCAAACATAAAGCATTTACACCATATATCTTAATTTCAACTTTTAAATTGAGATAGTTTCTATGCAAAATTATTAATTTAAATCACAGGAATTTATTTCCCAATAAAAAACCGTTCCTTGGTGTATGTTTTAGTTATGAAATGCATCACTTGACAAAATTTTACGTCTCTAACCACTGTGGTTTTAGTTGTGTGTTGATAAATAAGTCAGGGCAAACGATTTTACATATGTACATAGAAGACAGACATCACATAGTACAGGCCTACCAACGGCCTATGTGTATTGGCAGTTCTACCATGATGTTACGCCTTTTGTTAGACGACATGATATAATAGAGTCAATATTAAACTGACCTTTTTTATGTTTATATTATCTTTCTAATGCTAATTTAAAAACTAAACGTATAACAGTTTATGCAATAACGCAAACTGTGGATTTTGTCACCTCCAGGCTCTGTAATGAACTTGACCGGCTTTTTCTAACATTTATCGATGATAAATATCATAAACAACTTTATTGATTTTCTTTTATTGACTATAATGAAATGGCGCGCGTATATGTTTAGCAGACATCCGAAAACCATATATTGAAGAAGTACCTATCTATGGCTACAATGAAAAGAGGCACGCTACTGACTACCTAGCTGACTTATGTCAATAGGGACATAATGGAGTTGGGCCTGTCAAATGACGATTCTTATTACCAATATATGGCGCCTCAAGATTCGAGAAGCCGACGTAACGGGAAGAGGAGAGTATAAATAATAATGGAATGGTGGCGGCGCAATAGTGGAGGAAGATATGAAGAGAAAGAAATCAGGTTATTTAGCCCCTCGTGTTAAAGTCAACACGAATTAACCACGACGCTTTTCAGGGGCGACCGTGTGGAAGCGATGTGTTACTTGCCCATATTACTAATAAACTCCTCCTGCACCATCTCAGTATTATACTTTAAAAGCGAATGTTTGTCTGTCTGTTTATTATATTTTCATGACAAAACGACTGATGAGTTTTAATGGAATTTGACATTAAGATAAATTAATGTCATATTTTATATATTTTTTTTATATACTATATGGTGGCAAACAAGCACACGGCCCATCTGATGGTAAATGGTTATTTTGGGCCCAACATGTCACGTGCGCGTTGCCGACCCTCCCTTAATATACCCGTCTTGAAAAACCCCATGCTGTAATATAAAAAGTAAATGTTATTTTGCCCAACAGGTCGTTGTCTCCTATTCTATAAAAAATCATTATTATTCGAAATAAAACATACTTAAGGGATACAGGTATAAAAAAACTACCATATCTTTTTAGTTCGACTAAATTACACAGAGCCAAATAATGCCGGACAAAGATTCTGACACAGATTTTTATATTATAGAAGCTTAATAGCGAATACGCAGGTTTAGCACGGGTATTTTAACAAATTTACACAAAACCTAATAGAACTACATACCGTAAATCTTTTCTCAAAAATCACTCTGTAGATGGACAAAAATCGGTTCAGTAATTTTTGAAACCTTTTATTTCTGGTTTAGGAGAACTTTGTTTTACAATATATTTAAATTATACATAAAATAATACTCATAAAATACAGTATTTCTCATAAAAAAGTTCCTATTGTGCGGGGATCGAACCCGCTGTTAAATTAGGTGTACTCGACTACTAGACCATCGAGATCATCAGTCACTTGACCTGCATATTTTAAATATCTGCCAATGACGACATCATAAGTATTGGCCAGTTAAAGTTCAGCATATTATGAAATAATTCAATAACTATTTAACAAAAGGGCCTTCATATATATCGCAATAGTCATTTGAAATAACACATTGTAATTCTACTAATATTATAAAAGTTGTTTTCGATGCATTGAAGTATATATTTATTCCTAAAGATAAAAGGTAAGGTAAGGATTGTATTACTAACTAGCTGTACCCGCGACTTCGTCCGCATGGAATTTAACTTTATTTTTCTAAAATAAAAGTAGCCTATGTTACTCTTTATTACATCAGCTACCTGCCAAAAAAAGTCCCGTCAAAATCGGTCCAACCATTTCAGAGATTAAATGGAACAAATAGACAGACAGACAGACAAAAATTGTAAAAAATGTTATATTGGTGTATGTACAGTATATAAATACGGTACATACACCAATATAACATTTTTTTATATGCATGTAGTAAAAATCGGTTATTTCCATATTACAAACAGACACTCCAATTTTATATATATGTATAGATGTTTTTTATAATGTGTAGATATTCCTTTATGACTTAGATATAGTACGAGTATGTTTAATCTTGATGGTCTTGATAGTCCAACGATTTAGCACACCGCATTATTTCCGATACTCGCAGATCTGATTCCTCGCACGATGCAACTATTTGTATTCATGAATATGATTGTTTATATCGGTCTGGTTGTTTCCTATATATATTGTGTAAGTATTTACAAAAAAAATGTATTTAGGTACTAGAAGTTAGATAATTAGCCCACAGTTGTCTAGTAATTAAAACAGAAGCTCTGCTTAGTCTGGAAGTAGATGACGTTTTGTGTATTGTCCCTGTTTTTTATTGTCATCTGTGTTAGTACTTAATACTTTGCGACTGTAATTACTGTAACCCTTTATATATACCATATAGAAAGAAAGAAAGAAAGAAAGAAAATTGTTTATTTGGTACACTGAAAATAATTTTTACATTTTAATTTACATTTTTATATTAATAATTACAGTACCAAATAGGTCTCCGCTCAGCATATGTCGTGACGGGGTGCCGCGACGCTGGTTTTCAGCGGATACCTTCATATATAATAAATATAATAAAATAATAATAATACACATATATATAAGCCTTTTTTCTTTTGCGTAGTCAGGTAAAAACGAACGTTTCTACTGTATATTCGTGTGCGATTATATCTTAAAATAAAACAAATATAGATACCTAATATTTGCTGATGTATATACGTGTACACTTGGTGTAACAATATCATAAATAACAATGTCTAGACATGTCTGTAACTTATGAGGATCCCATCATACTATATTACATTTAGATAATATACAGTGATAAAATGAATAACACAAGAAAGAAAAATAATTTGCCAATGGTAACGAATTATGCGTACCACGGACAAAACACGAAGCCGTAGTGGCCGTAGTGCAGTTTATGTACCTATCTATGACTGTTGCCACTTACCATCAGACCGTCAGCTTGCTTGCCATTCCGATTATCTTATCTTAATCTTAATAATATATTATAAACGGGAATGTTTGTTAGTATGGATGTTTGTTACTCTTTCACGCAAAAACTACTGAACGGATTTTGATGAAACTACAGCAGGAGCTTATGAGAATAACATATAGGCTAAATTTTTTATTGAAATGTATCACGGGTAAAACCGCGAGCACAGCTAGTTTTATATAAATGAAAAGTGCGACGGGACAGTATAAATCTGACTTCTGAGTTGGTAATAAGGATACGAAAGTTAATAGTATAATTATAGTTAATATTAAAAATTATAGATAATATTATTATGTATCTATATACTATTATTACTATCCTATCTAAATTTAATTTTAACTCTACTTTAGATTACAAGAAATCATGCAATGCTGCCATGCAGCTGCGTGGCGGAATTTGTCCAATGCAAACTTACAAACATATTCGCAAAGAAATTTGTAATATTTACAAAACAAATTTTCGCAAACAGTACACAAATAGATTAGAATTTAAAAATATATGTCTAATATTAGACTATAAATAAAGAAATATGACCAATAGAAGCGTGAGGAATGAAGTTAAATATTGTAAAGTTAGTCAATGATTATTTGAATAATTAAATTGCGTAGCGCATTTTGTTGACACTCTGTGTACGTACCATTCCTATTTCTAGGCTTGCGTGATTCTGTAAGAATATATTTTGCAATTATTAAATCTGTAATTGTTGTTTATACACTTTCCTAAGTAAGTATATTAATTATCAATTTATTTACATAACCTAATTGTACAACTAAAACTTAAAAAATATAATATAATGACTAAAATATATTATTAAAAGGGGTCCCTTAAGGCAACGTTCCGAAGATACTGGCAGCGTTCCCTCTTTGAATAGCTAGACAAATTCTTTGTCCAAGGTAGCTGCCAGCTCTTCGGTCTTCTGTGATGTTTTGCAATTATTTCTAAAAATATAGATTATTTACATGTATACAACTTCTCTTCTTAATCGTCATAAATCATTTCAATATTTAATTGGACTGTAATTAATTTCAGTTAAATAATTTATATTAAAATTACTTCTTTATATTTTATAAGATAAATATCAGTTTATTTATTTAATACAGGAAAATGAATTTGCAAATATATTATGAAATTTACTATGGCCTTATCAAATTAAAGAATTACAATGAAATGAGACTATTAATAATCTTATTATTTATATTTATTTATTATGAATTATTATACATACTGGTAAGTTATTATAGTTAATCTTATTCCAATAAATATGGATATTTTATATGCTGTCCTTATAGCACATAATAAGTCAGTCTATGAAATACGCTTAGAATTTCTATAACTATATTTTATTTTAAGAATCTAAGAGTATAAGAGTAAAAAATAATGTATATATTATAAACTAAAGTCCAGTTAAACAGAGTATAAAAATAGAAATAAAGTAGAGTTCACTTATGATTTTGTAGAATCTAACCCCTATTTACATGCATTTTCCTGATTAATATATTATATATACACCATGCACTGTACAAATTATTTAGGACATTAATATAAATATATATTGTACATTAATTTAAATATTAAAAAATAATAAAGTATACAAATACAAGTGTTTCAAAAGAATTTAACTGAAACTGTTTAAATAATTTACTAATTTATTTATTTTTACATTAAATATTGATTATTACACAAAATGTTATATTTTTAAATATGTGTATAATGAACGTTAATTATAAATAAATCATTATAATTTAAATATTCATTCACTTACGGAATCTAGACTGCGTGTCCGCTGCGCTTGCGCAGACCACCAGCGTTAGCAAAATAGCGCCAACGCACCACCGCGCCATCTGTAGGAACGAAATAGAAATCAAATAAGTACATTAAATACAAATAACACAATCTTTTAGATATATTACGAACATATATCATCAAAATATAATGCAGATCAGCATATATCAACAAAAATATATCATCAATCTCATAAAGAGTTAAATAGGTTAAACACAGGAGTTTTCCATGAAATATTGGCAGAGCCAGCTTCCGATGCAGCCAAGTTATTGTTCTGGCTGGTATCATATTAGTTTAAGATTTTTAAGTTGATTTTTCTAAGTTTTTTACTCGGTATAGGTTACAAAAAATAACACATTCCTATTTCCAATGCCATTTCTACGACCTTGATTATTATATTTTTGATCACATAAATATATCATTTATACAATAGTAGCTGCACCCGCAGTTTCACCTGCGTCAAATTTTAGCCCTTGTGTTATTCTGATGTATAAACTATATTTCTATAAACTTTTATAAAAATATATTCAGTAGCTTTTACGTAAAAGAGAAACTAAATCCATACCTATCTATCCACAGTCACAAACTTCCACGTTTATAATATTAGTAAGATCTAGATACCCCTGGGAACGATCGCGATTATTCGTGGTGAAGTCTCCACGGTGTTCTATCTGACACATCTTAAAGCTCATCCTAACATCTTACATTGTTGCCTCCCAGCATACACCGTTAGTACAGGCGAAGGTAACATTCCATATTCCTCATTGCTATAATACTTAGTGTAAATTATATATTTAGCATAATCTGTACAAACAGATTTAAATCGAATATTATTGTTAATGGGTACAAATTAGTTAATTATTGTTAAACACGTACAAAACTAAATGGCCCACAAAAAAAACAACATTTCAAGGTACAATTAGCATCTCGATATGCAGATAAGCACTATTGTTGCGCATGTGCAGAACTAACGATAAATCAAACGCATGGGAATCGAACCAACTACCACAATGCACAATACCGCGTGTAACGTGGGAGATTTCGTACAATAACTTTTTAAACTACGCCTTAATTTTTAAACGGCGTTCGAGATGCCTGTAAATTAAGTTGGTAAATGGGAACAGACAGGTGTCGGAACTTTTGATGTTGAAATTATAGACCAACCAAACAAATAGTACTAGATGGAACATTGTTATACAAATATCTGTTAACACAGTCTATACAAAATTATACATAATGTGACTGCAGTTCTATAATTCTCTCTGTTTACTATATTTTTTTATTAACCTAATCTGGCGTCAATTTTATGCATTTATGCATTTTAATATCTCATCCAGGCCATTCTAAAAATATGCTTGTACTGATTGAATCCGTTTTTCTGAGATAAATTAATAAATTATGTGAGGTAGAGCAAAACTACGCTAAAAATAAAATAATACGCTCTTTCTGTAAAGAAATGTGTATACCATTAATGATGCTAAATCTAATTCTTGTATGTAATAAATATTTTTTTATTTCATAATTTCATTAAGAATTATTAGATGTTAATATATGGAATCTTTCGTCATAAATGAGACGACTCTTTCACCTTTTAGTCATCTTACTAAAATATTTTAATTAATAAATGTATAAACACATAGGAAATGTTGACATTTCCTATGTGTTTATACATTTATGAAATAATAATTTGTACAGTAATCTATAGTGTTCAGTCATGTAATTCCAGTTAGTTTTAGGTTTAAATTAACTATGGTATAGATCTAATTATACTATTGGTCGCTCAGTAATCGAAAATCGACTACAATTGTTTTAACTTTCAGTAAGACTATAGATAGAGACTAATAATATTAATTTGATTTAATAACCGCAGGCTTTAGCAATAAACAAAAGAGTATATATGCGTATGTCTGTCAAATATATATATATATGTGTGTGTGTGTAGTATGTGTAATGTTTTTTTTTATTGAGTTAATGGATTTTGAATTTCAAATAAATTCTGCACATCTCTGTATAGGTGTATGAAATTTCATACTTCTCTGTCCGCGCAAGCTTCGTAAAAGGGGTAAAATATTTGCTTCACGTGTTAATAAATACATTTTAAATAGTATAATAAAAATACAAAATACAATTATTTTGTAACTTTTTTATGTATCAAGACAGACAAAGTTATCTGTCCATGTAATGGTATATATACTTCTTCCCCTTGGAAACCATTGTTGTTAATTTGACGACCTCGGTGGTCTAGCGGTGTAGCACACCGCTTTACGTCCGATGGTCGCGGGTTCGATTCCTCGCACGGCACAAACATTTGTATTCATAAGTATGATTGTTTGTGTCGGTCTGGATGTTTTAAAAAAATTATTTATGTATTCGTATCAGTTATCTAGTACCCATAACACAAGCTTTAGCTAGCTTAACTTGGGACTAGATGGCGCTATGTGAATTGTCTTGAGATTATTATTATTATTATATAATTACTGATGAATTCATTATGATGGCCTGCCATACCTGACTTCGTCCTCATCATTCTACACTGGTGTCTCGCCAGCGTAACCACAACATTACCACAGACAGATACACTATTCCATTATCTTCCATAAAAATACTATTACCCAATAGTATTTTATTCTTATTACATAGTGTTGCCAACAAAATTACATATGTAATATTCTATATAGTAATAATATTAGGATAGTTTAAGATTGCACAAAACACGAGAACGTATAGTTTAGTGCCTATTGAGAATATAGCAATTCGTGAGAGTGCAATTATAGTAAGTACGTTTTAAATATAGTGAATCCATTTTTGTTTCAGGTATTTGTGTTAGTTTTGTTTCATAGTTTTTGCGTTTTATTTCGTCATCGTCATTATATTCGTCTTTGATCTGCTGATTTGTCTATATTTGTATTTTTTATGGAACTGGAATGACAAACAAGCGGTCGGACTATTTGGTGGTAAGTGGTAACTATCGACTATAAACATGAACAGCATCATCTGATGCCTTTAGTACTCCTCAAGCATTGCCATTCTGTATAAATCGTTCGTACATATAATGATGTACACTGCTTAACTTACAACAGTCGCGGGTTCAATTCTTCCCACGATGTAAATTCTTCATATTTTTGAGCATAATTGATTGTTTAGGTTTGGTTGTTTACAATGTATATTATGTATTTCTATCAGCTGTCTAGTACCCATAGTATAAGCTCTGCCTAGTTTGGGACTTGATGGCGATATGTGAGGGTTATTAATATTGTCATGATTAATATTATTATTCATTATACACAAAACATTGAAATATACATAAATAAATAATAAAACTGAAAGATAATTTGTGGTTTGTATACTTAACTAATCATCATGAACTTTCGCATTTACATAACTCGGACAGACAGAACTATAGAAGAACAGATGCTACTTTATATTCCGGTAAGATCTAGCCACATGATCAAACAATAAGAATTAAATTAACAGAGTCATCGGCTATAAATTTGCCTTAATCCCAATCGCAGTCAATGCCTGATCTTTGTGTAATACATAGTTCTTTTTTCAAATATTTTTTAATGTAATTGACATAGCATGCAAGCTTACGGCCCACCTGATGGTAAGTGTTAAGCGTCGCATATATACATGAACAGTACCACGGACATCATGTTATTATATGACGCCCATATCCCAGAGGACTAAGACGTTACTCCTATATACCCTATAATTTCACTTCACAATTTGACCCTACAGTTGAAGCATGCGGATTGATTTTTTTTTTTTTTTTTTTTTTGGGTTGATAATGGAATGGTGCACCCGCCTGCGCTAACGGTTTACGCTAGCGGGGCACCAGTGGAGGATGATAAGATGAGCATGAGGTCAGGTCAGTTAGCCCATCGTGCAAATTCATCAGGAATTTAACACGATGGTTTCCAGGGGGAACCGCGTGGAGGTCGACCTGACATGGTACATTGCATGGGGTTATCAATCCACATTACTTACAATCCCCTTCCCCCCATGCGGATTGATTGCAGAAATAGGTGAGATAGAGAGACTCTACAAAATATACTTAGATAAATATGTTTATAAACATCAATATAAAATCAATCAGGATAAGCATGAGTGGTATTGAGAGTTATTAATTTGTTTTGATAATATTTCTTCAGCATATTTTCCTTACTTGAAAGTGTTAAGTTTCATTTGAGTATTGTACAAAATGCACAAGAATTCATTAAATCTTTGAACACACATTCTTGTGGACATTTCCTTATTTATACCAATGTTTAAATATAATTCACATGCCAACTGCACTGAAACACGCTGTTGTAACTCTGTCCCAAATTCTGTTCAACTTTAACATCAATCTGTTACATTATTACAAAGCAGGTCGCATCTTTTGATGTACGAACTACAACTCAGCAGTGAGTAAGTACGTACCATTGTTTTAATGTTTTGAGAATGACCTCTGATGTAATGGAATTTATGTAGACGGGCGGTTTCAGAGCGGTTGAAACGACGCCGGAAATAGCGACTGTAGTGGAGTTGCGATTTTTCAAACTGATGTCTTTTAAAGCACTTTTATGTAATTACTAACAGTGCCCATTGTTTCATCCGCGTTAAATTTCAATAAAAAATATATCCTATGTGTTATTCTGATGTATAAGCTATATTGCTGTAAAGTTTCATCAAAATCCGTTCAGTAGTTTTTGCATGGAAGAGTAACAAACATCCATACATACAAACATTCTCATTTATAACATTTGAACACGTTTCACATAACATAAGAGTCTGTTGAATAAAGATATTTTTATTGTAATTTGAAAGAGACCAGACTTTGTTATCAAGAATGTATACTCCGAAACCCTGCACCGATTACAAAATTCTTTAACTTTTTGAAGAAAACATTATTCTAGAGTAACATAAGCTATATTATAGTAATATCTACAAAACTCACAAAGTTAGGAGCAAGGACGAAACCAGAGAGAACCGCTATAGAATACAATTATTTTAAATTAGTTTTCAACGCCCGTGTACAAACATTGTATCTACACATTCATTACATAAAGCACATCAA